CAGCTTTGTGTATGGGATTACAATATATGGTGTCTGTCGAGTTGGCACGATTGAATGTCAACTCGGAAAGTTTAAAGAAGTTATATTATCCGACATTTTGTCAACAATTGGAACTATATTTAACAACCCCATTTCGATCAAACTTCATTTGACGTGTGGTTATTTTTCCAGTTAGTAACGAATCATAGATGTTGGCTGCACTCCAAGATCATAACTTTCCATATCCGGATAATATCAACACTCCCATTGGGTCAAGTCCCGCCCAATTATCTAATTGTCCAATGTTAATGGACTGACCCGGCACTTGATCTTCATAATAAGCCATTGCATGAATGGTGCCAAAAATAGTTGTAAATGAGGCTTTTAGTTATAATGTTTGCCTAGGGGCCTTCGGAATTCGCACAAAATTACCCAGATTCATGGAATGAATGAAAATGAACATTTTCCTCAAAGGGCTCAGAATTGGTCGGAAAGAGTTTGTGTTGGTCCTAGGAACACTCCAGTTTGGGAATCATTGCATGTCTAAAAGCGATGTAAGGGTGGTCCCAATAGACAATAATCCTCCTGAGTACCTAGATTTTAGGGGACATCAAAGCATTGGCTGTATTTGAGTGCTGGGAAGCCTCAATTTGATTTTTATGATAGATATAGTAATAGGCGATGCATGCCTTCGAAAGTCACACAAAATGACCCAGATTCATGGAATGAACGGAAATAAAAGAAAATTAACATTTTCTTCAAAGTGCTCAGAATGGTTCAAATTTGGCCGGAAAGAGTTTGTGTCATGTATGATGTTGGTCCTAGGACCACTCCAGGGAATCAAGGCTGTCTAGAAGCAATGCACTGTAAGAGTGGTTCCAATTTTGTTCAGGATGCTGAGCAGTCCGCAAGCAGGATTATTGGGACAAAATTGGAACCACCCTTACATCGATTCTAGACATGCAATGATTCCCAATACAAACTTGGCTGGAGTGGTCCTAGTTCCAACACAAACTCTTTCCGACCAAATGTATATTTTCACTCATTTCCGTTCATTCCACGAACCTGCAACCTGGGTCATTTTGTTCGACTTTCGATGACTCCTGGGCCTAGTTTGTAACTATATCCATCATAGAATACCAAATTGAGGCTCCCCAGCCTTTTATAACTACTATCAAGGAGTGGTCCTGCCGTATTTTGAGACCAAAAGCAAATAAAGCAAAAGGTAAAATCATGTTTTTAAATTTGTGCATAGTACCAAGCGCGCGCACCATTTGCGCGCTGACTATAAGATATTTTAAGGTAGCGCTTTCCGACATGTTTGCTAAGTAGACCTCTAAAGCACGTGACGGTGAGATTGGCGCTCGTAATCGAACAAAACAAGGGAAATGATGCATTGTCCTTCACTCCTTCTCCACAAAAGAGAACATATCAGGTATTTAGCGAAAGAAGTAGAGGAAGAAAAGTTTTTCAGGGTAAAAGGCACTTATGATTGGGAGCGAAGCTTCCAGTAGAAGAAGACTCGCTTAAGGAAAGCTAGCTTAAGGAAGCTAGCGGAAAGGAAGCTTTCAAGTGGAAAGGAACTTGGAGGTTACCAGCAAGTACAATTCTTCCCAGAGGGGCTTTGAGCATCTATTTTTATGTCAAAATTTAATCTAGCATTGTTCAGCAGGAGGCTTTCGGCATTTTGTTATGATGAAGTTTAATTCTGCATGGTAAAAACATTACATTTTTTCGACAGTGTGGACTGTGGGCCCTGGAGAGAGGTAAGCGGACAGTAATTTCAAATTTGCAGCCATCAACCTACCTATTGAGAGGTTTAGAAGTAGGCATCTTCACGGTCATCACGCAATCTGCGGACCACCTCCTTAACTGCACCAGTCGATTATCGAGTTAGAGTTTTCTGTACGTGTAAAATTTATCAAAATTGCTGTATAATCAAATTTTTTATCAAATTTTCTCTAGCACGATAAAAACTGCATTTGGGGTCGTTCACATATTACGTAATCAGCCGAGGGGAGGGGTTTCATATGCTTACGGTTGATAACGGGGGGGGGGGGGGGGGGGGGGGGGGGGGGGTTTTGGTCGTTGATTACGTAATCAAAATTTTAATTTTTTACCGATTTTCGAAATACCAATTGGACAATTTTCGTTAATTATGTAACCCCCCTCCTATATTACGTAATCTGCACAACCCCCCTTGATTACGTAATATAGGGGGGGGGGGTTCGGTCTTGATTACGGTAGATTACGGAGGGGGGGGGGGGGTAAAAATTGCCAAAATATTGATTACGTAATATGTGAACGACCCCGGCCCTTTCTATTAAATTATTAACCAGCATCGTCATTCATACAAGCGACGTTTATTTTCTTGATACTGTAACTCTCTCTCTCTCTCTCTGTTCTGGTCAACGGTTTCTGGCCTCTTACTAAAAGATGGAGGCCTTCTCACCGTGCCCACAGAATGCAACTCCTGCTAGCTGCACGCCAGGACTCCCAAAGTATATACGAAATCATAAAATAATAAATATCAATGCAACAGACCCCTGGAGTCTTGAAGCTGTCACTACCTGTCTCAGAGCAAACCCACTTCCGTTGTAGTACTTCTGCGGGCAGACAAGGGACTTCCGAGCAAGGTCAAAGCCTGGGAGATATGTCTCTATGCGGAGATGGGCCTAGGTTGAGTTCCTAGTATGGGATTTAGCGAAAGTTCCTGGTGAAGAATCCTAGGAGGTTACCCAAAAGGGTTTTCCCTATCCAGTCTTGTCGACTGTTCCACAAATTTGAAGATATGATTGTAGTTTACTGTTTTTAAGGTAGAGTTTACCAATTATCCTCATTCTGAACGTCATGATCTGGATGCACTTGCAGAGGAGGTGCTGGGATGTTTCTGCTTCTCCTGAAAAGTGTTCACAATCTTGCGTCTCGAAGTTGACGTTGTTTGCCACGTTCTGAAAATAAACTAGTGGGCTGTGACCTATCCTGAAAGCGACCATGTAAGCCATCTGATGTGAGTTCCAGAAAAATTAAAGTTCCTGTATTTATATTTGTGGAGGAACATCTCAAGTGGAATGTTCCTTTGTCACTGAGTGTGGCCTAATTGGGAGGAAGGGTTCTGGTCCTATGGGGATGTTGTTGGATTGATCGTCCCTTGCGAATTCGTCCGCTAGTTCTTTACCGTATACTCCTTCATGTCCTGGAGTTCTACTCGATGAGAATACCTAGTGAGTTGAGTTGGTCTGAGATGTTCAGAACAAACCTGGAGTTAAAACTGATGCTGTTAAGCGCTTTAAATGCAGCCTGGGAATCTGAGATCCTAAGTTATCATTAGTCCAGATACTTGCCATGTATAACGCAAATAGCGGGTACAATTTCCTCAATGAACCTGAAGAAGGAATATCTGTCCTGAAATGATACCATGTATCGTCGAGCTAAAAAATGAATCAAAAGTTCGAGTAAATCGTTAAACGTTGTATGTCCTATTTGCATCCCCTAAGCATTGCAATGATGTTTATTCCTGGTCCGGTTAGCTTTGCGTCACAGAACTAAAGAAGTCCACTATGCTTTAGTGAGCTATGCTGTCCACCAGGGTACTGTAGATCTAAGGGTTCCCCGTGTAATGGGGCAGGCTGTGAAAAAGCATCTCTGCAGGATGTCCGAGATGAACTGTTTTCGAGTGTTGAGAACTTCCGCTGTAGAACTGAATAGAACCAGTTGCAGTAGGGGTGTCAGTCAAACACTGCTGGCTACTAGATGATTGTAGAGCGTCCAGTCACACTTCAATAAAGAGTGTGGCAAAGCTAACCCGGTCCCCTGAAAAGTGGTTACTGGAGGAAGAAGTGCCAGGAATTCTCGCTATCAGTGTGTCCTCGTAGTCAGAGTTGACATCCCTAACACTGTCTTATCACGAGCCTGTGTCTAGCGTGTGTCAGCCCTAACGCATTAGCTGTCTTAACTGAAAAGACCTGAAAAGTGGTTACTGGAGGGAGAAGTGCCAAGACTACTCATTATCAGTGTGTCCTTGTAGTCAGGATGAGCGAATTGGGATCCCTAGCTCTGTGGTGGGTGACTTCGATGGGACCTGAAAGCTGAAAGAGAATTTCCTGGTGATTTAATAGCTCTTAGAGCTATGTATCTGTGTCTAACGTATCGTCGTTTTTTTGTGTACTATCTTGTAACCTGATATCTGAAAGAGAAATTTCCTGGTGCTTGGTAGCTGTTAGTGTTGACTTCCTGGTTCCTATGGGAACTTTGAGTTGGCAAGTCCCAACCTTTGTACTCAACAAGAGAGCACACCACCCGTTAGTGCCAACCAGGCCACACCACGTGGAGGTTCGGAGAGGATTTCGTGACCCGATACTGTAACTCAATTATGATTATATACAGATAAAATGCTAAAATTTTCATTGTTTTAATTAAAATTTCCCCGGATGCACAAAATACAAAAGCAAAATCTTTTTCATCGGTCAGAGCTAATAAATCTACAGAATCGTCGTCAATCTAGTAGAAAATGGTCAGAACAGTTTGCAAAAAGTAAATTAAAAATAAAAACGATTAAATACGAAAATTGGTATCAAAAATATCAAACCCCTACCCTTATTACATGTATTAATTAATTTTATCAATTCACTTAAAAATAATGAGGTCTGATCTTCATCTTCTTACAGCGTTCGATGTCTGTGTGAAGGTAAAATGGTGATATCCTCTGGATCAGGCAGAGGTTGAGTGTTATCGGGATTATTACTACATGATGTTGCTCTACCAATTTGACTTATGTCCCTTAAGCGCTTTTAACTACCGTTCACCGAACCTTGACTGCGGCTTTGTTAACAAGGTTTGGCCGGTAGAGGGTCCGCAGTACTAGTCCCATTACCTTAGTATTGCTGTTCCACTACTAAAAAAATTCACTTAAAAGTTCAAATAATATGTCAATCCATACTAATTGATTAATGGATCAATTAAACTAATAAATCAGAGGGGTCGATCATTTCCAAAATGCTTTTTAAATCATATCAATATCAATTAAATTCCCCAATCATACTTAAAATTCTTTTAAGTGTTCACCAGAGCAGATATAATAGTTACACTAACAATAGAGTTTATAATAACAGCAGTACACAACCCAAACTGAACAAAAGTAGATCTACTGCCTGTGTTGTCTAGGTCCATGGTAACCATGGTAATGTCGTCACAGTCAGTTTCGTCACTGTCGTCCTTGTATTGGGTGTTGAGGGAATAGTAGAAATGGGGCGAGATACGCAAACAGATACACACTTTGCTCATGAACCTTCCAACCTGGGAAATATTACAGGATTAAAATGATAAATTTTCTGAAGAAAATCAGATATCCTCAGATTTGGGGCGTTCAAATATGAACAGATATAGACAATTCTTTATAATGTGCTGCCAATGAAAATATTATATACTGAAAAAATGTGTGTACTTTTTTAGGGAGATAACAATTTGTATATAAAACTAAAATGTATAGAAACATAATATATGTGTCTATACAAAATTTAAAATGTATTTTATATAGCGAGCTGATATCAACAGCTCTATAGTCTATATAAAATACATTATCAGCTTTTTAGGATACAGTTTTGTGCAGAATACCTGTTGAGGATTCTCAAGAACGATGAAGAGAATACAGTAGACAGTGATCTGTGTTGATATCACGTAGTAACATGACTCATGTGCATTTAACATGGACAGACCTGAGTAGAAACATGAAGTTAGTTTTCAAAAGACAATGAATTAGAGTCTACAAAAAGGTGTCAATAGTGAGCCCCACTTTAAAAAAATACAATATATTCGATCTTAATAGATTCTTTTGTAATCTAGAAGCTTAGATCAACGAACAGTTCACACTTTAAAAGGTAAAATTATCACAGATCATTATCACATCTTTCTCAAATTAGCACATGCTTATTTCTCACACAAGGAACTTACCGTTAACAATATTTGTAATGCTCCCCATAAAAAGTAAACCAGCTGTAATCTTGTGCACCACTTCCCAAAGTCTTCTATACCTAGTTAAATATTTTACACGTTAAATGAATTAATATGCATTATGCATATATATAAATACCCATAACCCATACTCCACTAGGAGTGTATTTATTCTGGTTATCGTAATTCTATTATCATATTATATAATATAATTATTACACACTATCACTGGTCCCCTGGTCGGCAATACTTCCTGTAACTTAACATCAATATTTACAAAAGTCACTTTATGATTTCTAGTAGTAGTAAGTTGAGCTGACAACCTATCAGGAAATTTACTCTTAAAAAGAATAATTGAGCCGAACATTAATTGAATATTTAATGCTTGAAATTTGTGGTAATCACGTTATTGCGACAAAGAGAACTGCTAATTTACAGTAATGTAGTGAACTGAACGACTCGTGAAACCAAACAAGGAATACTGATGAAACCTGGCTCGGAATGAGCTCTTACAAATTACATGTAAATATAATGTGAATGCCCCAAATCCCCAATGTAGGGTTTTTTCCACAATTTTTCCTTTAAAAAACATTCATACATAAACAGACATAATAAAACATAAACCAATTATGTATTCATATATAATGGAAATAATATTTACCTGGCTTCGAGAGGCGGTCTGAAGATTGCCATGATGATGTGAACAACAAGCACCACTAAAACTGATATCCCCAGAAGCTGATGCCGTTCTAACTCTATTGTTTCGAGAGCAATGTAAGCTACAATCACAGCTGCTACCACCAGAATACCTGATGATATTGTTATCTGCGTACTGTTAGGTTATCAGACCCATAATTAACATATGTATCCCAAATATTCGTATCAGTGCCTTTTGGAGAACGACTAAAATGTTAACATGACTGATGGAATATTCGAGAACCCCTTTCTATGACGTCATACTAGGTTTTGATTTCATTCTGTGAAACACAGTTGTAAGAAGGTTATCAGGTTCCTTGTGACCCCTGAAACCTAATAAACCTGAGTAATCTTCACATATAATTCATTTATCACGCTGCCAGCTTGAGTTTGTTAGTCTTTGTGGAAAGGAGTCGTTCACATATTACGTAATCAGCTGAGGGGGGGGGTTTCCGAATGATTACGCTAGTTGACATAGCTATGTGTAAAACTGATTACGGAGGGGGGGGGGTAAAAATTTCTCAAAGCTGTAAACATTGTCCCTATCATATTTTAAGACACATTCGATGGCTTAAAAGTTAGTCGATCAAAAAAATGATTCGAACAGTTCTGAATTTATGCGATTAGAATAGATAAGTTTCTGTTGTTATTTGAACTCTGATCAAAATTCATATAAATCTTCTTCACAGGACAGAATGAACTACAAAATACCTCTCCTCATTGTTCTAATCTCCGCCTCCCTCTACTATTTCTTCTCACCTGCCTCCCCACTCTCAGACACACAACTCACAGAACATCTTAATGGTAAGGTAGTCCTCATCTGTGGAGCTAGCAGTGGTATAGGAGAGGAACTTGCTTACCAATTAGCTGCCCATGGAGCTAAACTCGTACTGGTGGCAAGAAGTCAGGATAAGTTAGACAAAGTTAGAGCAGAGTTGCTGAACAGAGGTACCCCAGATGAAAATGTCATGATAATATCCTTTGACTTCTCAGATGTGTCTAGAAGCAAAGAAGTCGTGGACCAAACATTGGAAAAGTTCGGAGGATTAGACTACTTGGTCTCCAATCATGCTGCAATGATTACAGGTCCCTTCTTGGCTCTGCCTTACCTTCAAGATCCCGACTATCTAGAGAGGATCTTCAGAGTAAACTTGTTCAGTCATATCCAACTTGCTGTTCACGCCCTCCCACATTTAGAGAAACGGAATGGTCACATGTACTTTACTTCTTCCTTAGCTGGAGAACTACCTATGTATAGAAATAGCATTTATTGCTCAACAAAACATGCAATGAACGGGTTCTTTTACAGTCTCCAACAGGAACTACTTGCTAGAGAGTCTTCTGTGTCTCTAACAATCGGCTCACTTGGTCTCATTTGGACGAAAGAGATGGCTCAGATGTATGCAAAGGGAAACCTTTTTCCAGCCTGGGCCACAGGAAGTGCTGAAGAATGCTCTAGAGGAATGATGGAAGCGTATATAACGAGACCCCAAACCATGACATTTCCTAAACTTGCTGGCACTATCTATAGATCTTTTTGGTACTTTAAACCAAATTTCCATGAAGGTTTAATCAATACATTAAAACCCAAGGGTTCTGAGGGAACAGGATACAAAGAAGTGGTTGAAGCTACTGGTGCAAAAGATGATCTACGTAAAAAGATGGGATACCAACAAGGTTATGGAAGACAATGATTGATTACCTGTACTAAATATTTTTATTTTCAAATTTTAAGGTTCGTTTTTTTCGATGAATAGAATTGTTTTCGTTCAATTTGGTTTTATTTTTTGTTAAAACTGCGTTCGAATTGTCACCATGAACTGAATTGTCCAGCAATAAAAGATCGTATAAAACGCCCTTTTTAACAAAGCATTTTTTTGAGAATAAATTAACGTTACTTAAGCTTTTACAGAAACTACAATGCAAAAGCAGGTAAATTAACAGCATTTGATCCGGTTAAGGATTCAGCCTACTAATTAAAATAGCTATAGAGCTATACGAGTTTTGTCCTAAAATCTGCCACTAATTTGTACTCGCAAATTATTTTGTACTCATGTTTCTGTTTTAGATTCAGATGTTTTCTTTTCCACTTGAATCATCAAACAAATTTAAAACTATTTGAAGTTTGTAAAAGTATGTAGTGGTACATTGACATATTATCGTACTCGCATAAACCTATTAGAAATAAATATTCGTCGGACTATACGAAAGAGCCTATACTACACAAGCCTCTAAGAACTGATCAATCTGAAGCAGAGGATGGAAATACATATTGATAGTTTTCTCAAATATTTGCTGAATGAGAACATTTATATTACATTTTATTTTATTTTATTTCATTCTACGTAAAAACAGCGATTTGTTTCAATGCGGTCAACTGCCTAGCAATAAATGTACAATATATGCCCTTGTGCAATATATGCCCTTGAAAACTTTTTTACCAAATATTTCCTAGAAAAATAATTATAATTTCTGCCATTGATATCTACAGTCTAATGATCATCAGATTTAATGATCATTTTGGAAACTTTAAAAGGCATACTTTAAATAGGTATGATCGAATGCTGTATTTCCATTTTTTAGACTTGATACAATTACAAAAGCATGAGTATGACGTCGCTAGGTTTAAGATTCAATTGCATATTGGTAATCTTTCTTCGCTCTTATGAGTGGGTCGATCATATAGTTTGATAGTTGGGGACGAAGTGAGAAACGTCCTGTCTATGACAAAGGCGTGTGCAGAAACGTCGAGAACTATTTGTTTTGAAACACTGAGTGGAGACTCTCAATTGCATATTCTTGATAAAAATAATGATTCATTATTAAAAATGCGTATTTATATGGTTTAATTAAGTTTAATAAAGTTTCATATATTCTACTTCCTACTGGGAACTACCTATACCGGCGATTTTAGTCTAATACTATCTAGATAGTTCGAGAAGTTAAACATGGTTTGAGACCTGCAAACCACCTGGTCAACCAGTTGTGGAAATATCCTTCTAGAATGGGGATCTCGAATTACAATCTGATAAAATTTCATACGATTTTCATGGAATTCCTCCCGTGAACTTTATACGTTTGGGTTAGAGTTTCTTTTTATCAGTTCAGTCGTTATGGTACTCGAACTGCTAGTGTTTCAGCTTTTCCTGACAGTTGCATTCATCAGAACGTCATTGTACCGTTCAGATTCCAGTTTTTAATCAGTTTTTATCGCACCTTTTAAATTTTCTTTATTGCACTTGCAGCAAGTGATGAAATCAAAATCTACTAGCATTGAGTCTTAACATCGATTTTCACCAGAATATGGTACTCCTAACCTTGAGCAACAAATCTGGACATATGCCAATTTGAAATCTCGTAGCAACAAATATTTTTGAAACACACCCATTTGCAGGGTTTTGCTATCGGTCAATCGTCGCTATTTGAACTGATTTGGAACTAGTGCCGAACCCGATTTTCTTCTTGTTGATAGAAAGCATGCTAGATTTGAGTTTTAATTATTATTATTATTATTCATTAAATAATATATGTATGCTCATTATAAAAACTGATTACAGGAATGAACTACAAAATACCTCTCCTCATTGTTCTAATCTCCGCCTCCCTCTACTATTTCTTCTCACCTGCCTCCCCACTCTCAGACACACAACTCACAGAACATCTTAATGGCAAGGTAGTCCTCATCTGTGGAGCTAGCAGTGGTATAGGAGAGGAACTTGCTTACCAATTAGCTGCCCATGGAGCTAAACTCGTACTGGTGGCAAGAAGTCAGGATAAGTTAGACAAAGTTAGAACAGAAATAATAAAAAGAGGGGCCCCAGATGAAGATGTGATAACTATATCTCTTGACTTCTCAGATGTGTCTAAAAGCAAGGAGGTCGTGGACCAAACATTAGAAAAGTTCGGAGGACTTGATTACCTGGTCTCTAACCACGCTGCAATATTTACTGGTCCCTTTCTGGGCCTGCCTCATCTTCAAGATCCTGAGTACATCGAGAAGATATTCAGAGTAAACTTGTTCAGTCATATCCAACTTGCTGTTCATGCCCTGCCACATTTAGAGAAAAATAATGGTCACATCTACTTTACTTCTTCATTAGCTGGAGAGATACCAGTATATAGAAGCAGTTTATATTGCTCAACAAAACATGCAATGAACGGGTTCTTTTACAGTCTTCAACAAGAACTACTTGCTAGAGAGTCTTCTGTGTCTCTAACGATCGGCTCACTTGGTCTCATTTTAACAAAGGAAATATCTCAGTTGATGGCATTTGGACATCCTTACCCAGCGTGGGCCAGAGGAAGTTTGGAGGAGTGCTCAAGAGGAGTTATGGAAGCCTATATAACGAGACCCCAAACTATGACATATCCCAGAATCGCTGGTATGATTTATAGGGCCAACTGGTATTTTGACCCGCATTTTCATGAAGGCATAATTCAAAGATTCAAAGCTAAGGGGACTGAAGGAAAAGGTTACAAGGAAGTAGTAGAAAAGGTCAGTCAGACAGCTGATTTACTCAAAAATATGGAGTACCAACTGGGGTATGGACCAGGAGATAAATAAGCATATTGATAACTAAAAAGTATATAAACTGTGGTGTGTATAAACTGTACTCAGATTCAATTATCTAAAGCCACAGGTTAACTGCAGCTTTAACAAATTGAATCTCTTTGATTTTTCCTTTTATATTTTAAAATAGAAATTTGCCTCCCAAAAATGTGTTTATTTAGCAGTATTCGGTTTCATAACCATAAATAGTTGAATAGTATGAATACCATTCATAATATACATTTGAGCTTCCTTGGATTGCTAGAGGACTAGGCTGACTTGTTAAGCGATATGCATTTAGCGCTTAGAATCAAGCTTACCTCTTTTCTGAAGAAAAGTAAAAAGTAATTTTAACAGCCATGTGCGTACCTGATAACGTTGCAGTGCACTAGTGAAGTGTATGCCTCAACGTCTGAATTGTCTCTTGTTCTTTATTATGTCGTAATATATTTATCGTCAATGAACCTTATACGTTTGAGTTGGGTTTCTTTTTATCAGTTGAATCGTTATGGTACTAGAACTGCTAATATTTTACCGGACAGTCATTGTTTTAATCAGACCATTTGCATTTTGTAACCATTTTTTATCGTTCCTTCAAAATGTTCACAATTTCTGCTGATTATGACACGCCTGAGTCATACTGATTATTAAATTATATAAACTTTAATACCTCCTAGTATGCTGATAACATGATTTAAGTTGCGTTACAAACACTGCTTTCATTTTGATACTGATATTGATATCAAGCATTTTGTCCACAGTTTAAATGTACTTTTGTGAACACATTGTAGTTTTATATTTCTTAATTGACATTAAAAGATTTGAGGAGACTGCGTTTAATTGCCATCCTGTAGCCTTAAGAATGGAACTGTAATAGATGCCCCTAAACACACAGGCACGCACTCCCCTTTGATACAGCAACCTAGAGGGTGTTCCAAAATAAATTATTAGTGTTAATAACTAAAGAGCAGTTTGAGAACGGCATTTAAAATTTACAGGGCTATCTAGGGAATGACCTCCGGATTTTTGGAAAAATGTCAGACCTCAAGTTCATTCGAGTGGCAGCCTCAAATTTTCTGATTGCTCGATCATTTTGTATGCTTATCGGCTTGTTTGTTTATCCTTATTTTCTATCTTAATAAGATCAATACAAGTAGAGCAATCTGTCCTGGTTCACGAAATATACAAAATACCGTACACTGAAATGGTACATATATTATGATAATCATTATCATTTACAGGAATGAACTACAAAGTTCCTCTCATAATCATTCTAATCTCCGCCTCCCTCTACTATTTCTTCTCACCTGCCTCCCCACTCTCAGACAAACAACTCACAGAACATCTTAATGGTAAGGTAGTCCTCATCTGTGGAGCTAGCAGTGGTATAGGAGAGGAACTTGCTTACCAATTAGCTGCCCATGGAGCTAAACTCGTCCTGGTGGCTAGGCATCAGGATAAGTTGGACAAAGTTAGAACAGAAATAATAAAAAGAGGGGCCCCAGATGAAGATGTGATAACTATATCTCTTGACTTCTCAGATATGTCTAAAAGCAAGGAAGTCGTGGACCAAACATTGGAAAAGTTCGGAGGACTTGATTACCTGGTCTCTAACCACGCTGCAATATTTACTGGTCCCTTTCTGGCTCTGCCTCATCTTCAAGATCCTGAGTACATCGAGAAGATATTCAGAGTAAACTTGTTTAGTCATATCCAACTTGCTGTTCATGCCCTCTCTCATCTAGAAAAACGGAATGGTCACATGTACTTTACTTCTTCGTTAGCTGGAGAGATACCAGCATATACAAGTAGTTTATATTGCTCAACAAAACATGCAATGAACGGGTTCTTCTACAGTCTTCAACAAGAACTACTTGCTAGAGAGTCTTCTGTGTCTCTAACAATCGGCTCACTTGGTCTCATTTTGACAAAGGAAAGATCTGAGCTGTTACCATACGGACATCCCTATCCGGTATGGTCCAAAGGAAGTTTGGAGGAGTGCTCAAGAGGGATTATGGAGGCCTATATAACGAGACCCCAAACTCTGACATATCCCAGAATCGCTGGTATGATTTATAGGGCCAACTGGTATTTTGACCCGCATTTTCACGAGGGCATAATTCAAAGGTTCAAACCGAAGGGAACTAAGGGGAAAGGTTATAAAGAAGTTGTGGAAAAGGGTACGAGCGTTGATCAACGCATAAAGATGGGGTACCAACTGGGGTATGGACCAGGAGATAAATAAATATTTTGCGATTATTAACTGTAACTACAATTTAAATCAAATCTTTCATTTTTTTACTTTTTATTCTATTGAAATTTTTCTTCAAAAATTGTGCATTTAATTAGATTTGTTTGTTTTTTTTAAAATGCTGTAAGTGGTCGTAATTATAAATCGTTGATCATTGTTCATTTTGAACCGTAGAGCTTCCTTGGGCCCTTTCAGGTCAAGGCTTAATTGTAAAGCGCTATTTTTAATAAAAAAGAATAAATTATTTTTTAAAGTTCACCTGGAGTATTTAAATTAACAATAATTGTGTTTTCGATCATAAAAGGTTTTCTAACTTGGAACTTTTTGATGCAATGTAAATATCCATGTAATGAGCGTACCTGATAAATACCCAGTGTACTTGCGAATAGAGAACCACAACGTCTGTCTCTTGAAGTAGTACTTAGCATACCGCGCAATAAACACGGCTAACGGTGTTAAGTTTAACCAAACGAGTACCATGAGAATACCTGACGGAGGATTTATTGGTCTCTGGTTTGAGGAGAATCATAGCTCTCAATCAAACATCATCATCATTACCGTTAGAGATCATTATTTGTAGAGTTATCTGCATTCATTTTTATGGACCAAAAATATTAAATGAGAAACCTTACTCAGTGCAGTGAGATCATTTTCAACTGTTTAGTACTTAAAAAGACATTTCATTACAACCTAGCCTTTGATTATGTTCCTAATTTTTGTCCATTAATACTGAACTAACATTCAACATACCATGAACTTTGATAAGGTTGTGGGTCTGAGTAGAGATGCATCTAGGAGTATTCCTATACAAGGGTACAAGGTCCCGGCTAACAGTCGGGTTAACATGGTGCATGTATAACGGCTTTATATCGCCTCCCTCGTCTTCTGGTCTGATATTACCTGTAAATGCAGCTGTAAATGTTTTGCTATGAAGAGATGTGTATTACATTATATAATATACTTTTATTGCTTCTGAGCAACAGTTTCATGTTATAAAATATGTAATGCTATAAATTATTTTATGTGAATGTTGATTTATAGTTATTATTATATATATTGTATGTTTATTCGTCTCCTTTTCTGTGGAGCTCTGCCGCTGATATCGACTCCTACAAACACACATTTGAACTTTACCAACCTTGCAACGCTAAAGTTATGGAGTACATATGAATGCTAGGCTGAGTGCCCACTCAGTATTACTATTACACTGGTCCCCTTGTGTGAGCCAAGTAATTGTCGTGCTGAACTCACAACAACTTGCCAATATCAATAAGGGGTCACAATATTGTACCTGGGGGTCCATATTGCACCTGGACTAAACTTTTAGTACTTGCTCCAAGTGTGATATTAACAGAAAAGTTCTTGAGTAAAACAGTAAAAAGCTCATAAGTCAGGGTGTGAGGTGGAAAGGAGCTAAACTTAACATAATCACGCTACAAAACTTACATTATATTATATAGGCCATGTAGTAAAAAAGTGAACATGCAGAAACAAGGCATGAGAAGTTATTTCCTGTTAGTATTAAGCAACCAGTAATGGCAATCCGCTTAAAACGGTACAAGGTATTATATATTAGTACTGATTACGTACGAACAATAATACAATATGGAACCCACGATTTCAGTTTCTTGCTTAACATTGCAGTACAATAAGGACTTCGCCGTGCTGAAGTTCTCCATTACAATGTGTAATGATATCATAACTCATAACGGATAACAATAAGAACGTTTTAATAAAATAAAAGGCAAAGTGCCATGTCATGGGATGACGGATATACTATACTGTGTGTACCTTACACAGTGTGCACTATACTATACTATGTGTACACTACACAGTGTGTACTATACTATACTATGTGTACACTACACAGTGTGCACTATACTATACTATGTGTACACTACACGTCTACACTGTGTGCACTATACTATGTGTACACTACACAGTGTGCACTATACTATACTATGTGTACACTACACAGTGTGCACTATACTATACTATGTGTACACTACACAGTGTGCAATATACTATACTGTGTGTACACTACACAGTGTGCACTGTGTGCACTATACTATGTGTACACTACACAGTGTGCAATATACTATACTGTGTGTACACTACACTGTGTGCACTGTGTGCACTGTGTGCACTTCTCACTAAGCTTGCGCCCAAACAAATGGAGAGAACCTACCTATTCCGAACATCAGATAGACTGGCGTTTTGTGTAAAGTATCAAAGGGATACGAGAGTTCGATAGATTTCGTGATGTTCGCTTGAACTATTCCATCTTTATAAGTTATGGAACTATCTGCAATAGTCTCCAACTCTTCTTGAAATATTGTTGAACTATAACCTGAAATGATAGGTTGGTTGAAAATTATCAAAAGATAAGACACACGTGTCAATGTACATATAATATTGTATAATTTATGAAAACTCATAAAAATATTGTGCTACACTTGCATAGATTTAAACAAGATCAGTACCATGAGGGTCAAAAAGGGGAGCTGCGATGAAGGACTGAGCATAAGAGTCTTTATAGACTGCTACAATATCGTCATATCCCATAAGAGTGTCGTTACTGAAGCCTATAGCTACCCACTCAGTCTCCTTTATTGTAGCTGTTATGTTTAGGTACAAATCGTCTCCTGGTATTTTAATTAGTGTACACATAGTTACACACAAATCTCGCGAAAGAAAATATAAATTTCATCAAAGTAAACCGTTCAAAGGAAATGATTTTGGTGTAGAAAGCCATCTAACGTGCGAACGACTAAAACTTAAAAGTAATTGTATGTATGAATTATGATACACAAATACACGTAAAAAATCTCAAATAAATACCAGGTAACAATTCCAAATATAAATCCCCGTTTTTACCTGAAATGGCCCAAAAGAAAGTTCCTTCATCTCCGTGATAACACCCATTAGCAGATTTGGGTTTCAATATAGTGCCATGTTGCTGTGTTGCTGCAAACAATATCACCAGTATAACACTCCGAAGATAAGATCCCATATCGGATAGTTCAGGTTGCTCATAAATCTATTATTTCTAATATCGAGTTTCAGTTAGAATCTATCACAATTTTAAACAGTCGAAAAAATAGAATTCTTCGTAATATAGAACATTAGTTAAGAAAACATTTAGCGTTAACAAAATACAACAGTGGAAAAGTAGAGTCATGCCGGTATTCATTGTTTGGAATATTATTTAAAAGGTGCTCAATTTTCAGGTTCAGCAAATATGTATAACCCTCCTGAAATTTGAACCTGTAGTAAAAAGTGCCAGATTCAGCGTCCTGAAAACCTATACAAAGTACACCAGGAAGTGCAACAACCAAGACGCAGGTAAATTACAGCAGATAAATCTAGGCTGTGTTTTCTTAGAACACCTGAGACGAGGAGCAGCCGTTTAAAATCAGTAAATTTCAGACCAGTAATGATTTACTAATCTAATTTATAACATTATAATCAGTTATTTTTATCAGGTGCCCGGTAATTAAATATAGACTGTCTAGTGCATACAAAGCCTGCTCTTATCGTCCGAATATAACATGATGACCGTTTTTATCAGTGCACTGTTACATATAACAATCTAAGAAGTCTAAATTTTGTTAGGACAATTTCTTGCTTTTTATCTCTTTTAATTTCCGGTACGTTAATGAACTGAAGACGAAAGCAAAAGATGTCGAATGTTTCAGAAGGAATGGATCCAATATAATCAGCTATACTCAATCAGAGACTAAATTGTAAAATTTTAATAAGCATGCTTAAAATATGTTAATTAAAATATTTTATAAAAATAAGGTGCAAATTAAAAAATCACAGTACGGTAATAGTGATCGTAATACTAATTTTTGGATGCCAAAAAATAACAGTATTCTTTTTTTCTTCAGAAAATAAGTCCTGGTTACTTTATATGAACCTCTGATCACTGATGAACACGTTGGTTAGCGTACAATTTTCCGAACTATTCACTTAACCACACTTTCCTGGATCATTCAGTGTAAACAATAGCAACAACAATAACCACTCCAGCGGCAGTGTTAATAAACACAATATTCCAAAAACCCAACTTTATCAAGCTACGTTTGGAAGTTCCTCCTAGATTCAGGACGTAGTAGAGAGTAGGGCACGATTTGAGACACACGCAGGCTCTACTGGTACAATTCACCACCTGTATGATAAATTAAATTGAGTATGTATACATGTATACTTGTATACTCATGTATACTCATGTATACTCATGTATACTTTATCATACATGTATGATAAACTACAGAAACTTTACACTCATCATCACAGCTATTATATTTAAACTGTGATGAGGTGATGAGTTTACGGACAGTAACTAAGATACGGCAAAAAATTTAAAGCAACAGAACATGACGTATTGCTGTTATGTGTGGTACAAATAGGAATAAATTATAATATTCAGTATTCAGCAATACTCATAAAGTCAGTGTTTACAAATGCAGAACTGCTACGTACTAGTTCAGGATTTTCCAGGGTAATGGAGATTATGCCGAATACCAAGAGTTGCAGAGATATTACAACATAGCTAGCACTATGGGCGTCTAACATGTATAAACCTGAAGTTGCACATAATAATTTCGATTGAATACGGTTCATTGAGACGTATTATTTTTTAAATGATCATATGGTTCTCAAAATCAAATAGAAAGTAATGTATAAAGAGAGCTCAATGTAAAGAAAAGAGTCAAATAATCACCATCTACGATATTTGTGAGACTCCCCAGAAAGAGGAGAAAAGCTGTGATTCTGTGTATGATTTCCCAGGCTCTTCTATAGCTGACCAATTAAGTAATTAAGTAATCTTTCACTAATCGTGGCCGGAAATTGATCGGTTTTTAATGATTTGGGTAAATGTTATAGCAGAGCAGAGTAGGATATAAAGAGATCTTGGTAATAAGATTATTGGATTGGGAGTTTAGTTTGTAAACTCAAGATAAAAAGGATCTGAGTCTTGAACTGTACCTTGTATCGGGAGCAGGTCGGAAGAAAGCAAGAACCACGTGAAATAGCAGCAGTAATAACACTACAATTCCAATAATCTGGTGAAGCTCAAACTCGAATGTTTGTAGTGCAACAAAAGCCAAAACAACTGACACTATAACTACCACACCTGGGTAGATTTCCTTATTTATATCTTTAAAAGTTTTAGAATTGAAAATCAGGACTCAGTCAAATGAATAACTTTTATAAACAAGTGTTGTAAACAGAATCAAACAGTAGATTTTACAAATTGGTTCGTAATACTATTCAATAACTTCGACCTTAATCATACCTGACAAGATACTGCCCCATTTGTGCATCAAAAACCAGAATGAGGGTCTTTCAAAGAAGTCCTTGCCATATCGGGCAATGTAAACTGCTAGGGGTGTCAAGTATAACCACGCCACGACCATCAGAATACCTGACAATTTTATTTGGTACCATTAATATTTCCTCGCAAATTACAGGCAAAGAAAGTTACCTCTTTCCACAGAAACAAAGAAATGTTGTCTCAAAAAGCAGCATGTTAAAATTTCAAATCCCAACATATTCCAGTGCAATTACCATGAAGTTTGAGGAGTTTGTGAGTTTCAGTGATGCAATATCGTTTGTCTTTGAAGAGAGAGACAGGTTTATCACTGCAGAATGGATTGTGTCTATGTTCATGCAGAGGGTACCCAGGTTTGTTGTGCCTTATCTTTCCTGAACAGTAAACATAAGTAAAATACAATTTTAAGTAAAATACAATTTTTATTTTCCACAGAAGAATCAATACATATTGAATTATAAATATCCGATAATTCCATTAATAACCATTAAAAGTTGCTTTGTCATTTGTAAAATCAAAAACGAAAAGCCCCACGCTGAACGCGCGCGGCATTTTTTCTGCAGCTGCCTAGCTTCAAGCTTGTAGCCGCTAACATCAAAGCCGCCGCGCGCGCCCAGTGCTGGGGTGCATTCTCATTAACAATTAAACTTGGTCAAAGATATTTATATACAATTCCTAAATTAAATCAATAATCATGTTAATATGAGTATTCAACACTACTCGACAACAAATATTTGCCGGCCCATCAACGATTCAGTCGCCGAAACAAAAATCATGATCAAATGTTTGCTTTTTCGTTTCGGGGACTGTTTGAACTCAGTACTATATCCGACTAATCACACTTTATAATGGTTAAAATACAAAGCAAAAAGATTTTCCTCGATGGGCCGGCATTCGCAACCGCGAAACGTTTTGAGTACGACAAACGATGACACCACCACCAGCTGTTAATTGATAAGTCCATGGGTGACGGGATAAAGTTAAAGTAAGATGTGTAATTTCATATTGCCTATCACCTATCACCTAAGTTACTTTGCATATACTGCTTCTAGTTACACGATAGCGATCTCAGTTCCCAATATCGTGTGACCCAACAGAGGGGATTGTGGAAGGACATGATATTACATTCTAGAGGTCTGCCTAGTTGAATACAATTTTTCTAATAGTTTTAAAACTGTCATAGTCGAAATGAATAATGAAAACTTACCACGGCCAAAAAACAGGTAAATTGGAGTGCTGTTCAATGTCCTAAAGGGATAGGAGAGTGCAATGGATTTTGTTATATTCGCTGTAACTACACCTTCTTTATAAGAGGCTGAACTACTCAGTATACTGTCTACCTTTTGAAACACAGTTGAACTATAATCTGAAAAGTTTGGATCATTATTGAAAAGAATTGCGGGATGTCCTCCTGCATTTTTATAATTTTGCCGGTCATTAAAAGTAATTAAAATATAGTGAAGTCTGGACGTCATTATCAATACAGTAAGACCACTTAAATCGTTTAAAAACTGAGACATACGTTGAGGATCAAGGAGAGAAGCTGCGGAGAATAACTGAGTAGACATGTTTTTATAGACCGCAACAACATCATCATTTCCCATTCTAGTATCATCGCTCAACCCCAGAGCTATCCACTCATCTTCAGTAACTTTGGCTGTTATGTTGATGTACAGATTGTCACCTGGAAAGATGATTATGATGGTGACAGTATTTATCATTGTCTATGCTACTGAAATATACATGTTTGTCTAACTCGATCTTGATTATATCAGTTTGTTTTCTTAACTTGAAAAAGGAATGTGAATTTCATTCTCTGTGCCTTTGAAATATACATGTTTATCTAACTCGATCTTTAGCTTCTCCCATTTATGTCACAGATGCATGAAATATTGATATGAGATTTTGGTCCTACTATCTCCTTTATACCTGCTATCTCCTTATTACCTGAAATGCTCCAAAAGAAAGTGTCATGATTGGAACTTTGATAACATCCATTAACAGAAGAGGGTTTCTTCAGTTTGCTGAACTGTAACGTCTTAGTACACAGTATTGACAAAACAAAAATTGCTCTCCAGATAGATCCCATCTCAAACAGCATTGTTTTGTCATACAGCCTGTTTTCCTAAAATATCATGAACCTTTGTTCAGTAAGATTGTAACAGGGTTTAAGCTTTGAAAAACTGTCATATTTAAATCATAAATAAATAGCATAGTATAGTATAGGTGGTAGGTTATATTATAGATCTACTGACACAAAAAGTGCCGAAAGCACAAGTTCTATAATTTCTGATCATTCGGCTGGATCAAACAAGGGGACGTTAAACAAATACTTCATATGAATCCAACGTTGCTCTAACCAGAGCCCTCTAGCTTGCAGTAGCGCTTGTGAAACAAGCGCGTCACACAGTACGCGTAGACACATGGCTATGTTAAAATCCAACGAATCCTTAGCTATCTCCCTCTACCAGACTAGGTGACACTTCGTCCAACTCTGTACTGGACCTTCTCCATGGATAGGAGGGTGGAAGCTCTAACCACTATTACCTAGCCCTATGGAGCGTGTACATTGTACATACCAACAACAGCAAGGTATGTTTCATATTTTTAAACTGTCAACATGTAAGTGGAACTTCTGAATTTTATAATAATTGATTGTAAATAGCTATGAGCTATGTAACTTTGAATTGTTTAAAGATTACACGATTAATGAGGCATAAGGGGTAGGGAGGGGTTTTAAATGATTACTCAATTAAAATTGCAATTTTTACACAATAGCTATGGGTGACATTGCTTAGTGACCATTTGTCATACGTTGTATGACCCGCCGCGCATGAGTGCGCGGCTCCCCCTGTATCATCAGGACGATACAGTGAAACGACTATTATATAGTGAAACGACTATAGTGAAACGACTATAGTGAAACGATTGCTCTAACCAGAGCCCTCTCGCTTGCAGTACACAGTAGCGCGCGAGCGCCGGAGGCGGCAAAGATCTATCTACTTGTGAAACAAGCGCGTCACGCAGTACGCGTAGACACATGGCTATGTGAATATGTCATGAGAGGAGTTATTCGGAATTACAAATTAGCGTCCAAAAATACATTGATTCAAGTTGGTCTCAACCTACCTGGGGACCTCAGGCTATCGTGTTCATAAACATAGAGATTAGGCGGAATGACAGGCTGAGCGCGCGGCCCAGTAAGTCTCAACGGGGGGGGGGGTCCCTTTTAAAAAATCTCGAATATCAACTGTAAAGTGATTTAGTACGCTCGCAAACTTTTAGTTGAATCAGCAATGTACTTGCACCACTGGGCCTCGCCGAGAAGGATTGACATCGTCAATTAAAATTTGATAGGTATGAAATGGTTCTATAACATGCTTGATTTTAACCGGTAATAATATGTTCATATTATTATATATATTTAGTCTTAGACACATTAAACATTAGGCGCAGTTTATATCTCTGCCAAAATGCAAAAGCACACTCCTCAAATTGCACGCATTGCTGTAACTTCTTTCAAACTTCATGAATGATCGAGATAATTTATTTTGCAATGTATTCAGAGTTAATATATGCACTTATGCAAATCACTTGGAATACTCTTGAAAGAGAACAACAAGCTCAAAAACGCTACTGACGTATTTCTCCATAACAAGCACAATAGCGTGAAAAGCCTTTGTCAATGTGCCTCGAAAGTGATCTTAAACGATTCCTCGTTCAATTTTGGTCGCCAACTTAGTGCATAATCAAGGAAATTATTGATTATTGACATATTTCATACGTATCAAATTAGATGTGCTTTTGGCGGAGATATAACGTGCGCATTAAAGAATCTTGTCATACGTTGTATGACCCGCCGCGCACGAGTGCGCGGCTCCCCCTGTATCGTAGAAACTTTATAGTGAAGCGACAGCTAGTGGGGGTCACCACGTGATACAAAAAGAATCGGCAGAATGATGCACGTGACATGACCATATATAGTAGGAGCTGTTACGGGGATTTTCGGCTCGATACACCAGGGTCATCAGACATGTCTTAAAAGACGTATTTTTGGCCCCTGAATCGATTGGTGATAGTGGGAAGTGTTGAAAATGGGGTTAACCTGGTTTTATTTGAAAAAACCGATTTTTGGCCCTAAAAATGGTCATTTTTTGAGGTTTTTCAGGATTATCGATAGGTTAATTTCAAGGAAAAGCTTAGATATTTCGGTTTCTGATACATTTTAATATGCCGCATTAGTTAATATTAAGTTCATAAGCGCACATAAGAGTTAACCTGGTCAAAATAAAAAACCTTCAAAAAAAAATGTTTTTTTGCGCGCTAAATTTTATCGGCTTTTTATACATCCAAAATGAAATATTTTTGCCCACAAAGTGTTTTAATACTGTTCAATAATACTATTTGATAGTTTTTCAGCGTCAAAACAAGTTTTGAAAGCGGAAGAAAAAAATTATATTTTTCGTGGTGCTGAGCACTTTGAAAATTTTTGAATAAAATCGAGCGCTACCGTAAAATTTTAGTAACCCTTCCCTGAAACTCATTTAAGTTTTTGTACCGTAAGTGTATTGTCCTTTTCTGAAGTTCATGCCTTCTCTGGCTTAATTTCATTTAATATTGTTTAATACAGTACAGTAAAGTGTTTTATAATAGTAGAGTGCCATTTTATTTCTAATACTTCAATGTTATATTGTTGAGATACCTTTATTTGGCTGTATACCTTTTGTTAATACAATTTCACCAATTTAGTATTGCATTGCTTATATGACTATTTGGATTTATAATTTATCGATTGTGGGTATGAATAAACTTTTGGTTCACAATCAACAATATAATGTCTACTGTGTGGTACCCTTACAAGATTAATTATAGATCTTTTGACAGGAATGCCTTACTTAAACCCCCTCATCCATCACTCATTCCGTGTTACCTGTTGGATGTGGAGGAACCCTACCACAAACTGAAATATTGTAAAGGTACCCTTCAGTACATAAATAAAGCACTGTAAATAATATAGATTAGTTACTGCTATCTTCTCAATGCAATTTTGAATACATGTCAGGAACACCTATCTTAAACCCCCTCATCCATCACTCATTCAGTGTTGCCTGTTGGATATGGAGGAAATGTACACCACAAAGTGGAATATTGTAAAGGCACTCTTCAGTACACATAAAATAGAGCACTGTAAATAATATGGATTAGTTGCTGCTATCTTCTTAACATGATTTTGAATTTATAAATAGTGAAACAAATTTTTTTTTGTGAAACAAATTTAAACTTTTTATCCTTTATTTTACAATCATTATATAATAATATTTATAAGCCTCCGTTTTGAAAGTTTTAATTTAATTTTAATACATTCACATTTCTATTTACAATTCAATTATATGTACAAGTCAATAACTGGCCGCCAAAGCCGCGCATTCTTGAAAACAGGATTAACTTGATTATAGTTATACGACTATGTAAATTTAAAACTATCCGTGGTTTTTTCTTTTAAATAAATAAATTATAATTTTACCTAAGTCCAAAGCCAGCTTTGAAAAATTTACTATTAAATCATAATATATCGTCAACTTTAAATATTTACAATGCAACAATTCATTAATCTGTAAACACGCGTACTCCAGCCCCTAAACGCATAAATTGTTATGCGGCGCGGCTCAAGCCGCGCACGCACGTATTATTTTATACTGTTTGCTTTCTAATAAATATCGTGCCAATGTGTACGTCTAAATTGTAAACGTTCATGTTTTGTGTAAAGTGAATCCAATTGAGACTAGTGACAAGGATAAGGACCCAAGTGCCTGTACGGCTTTTTCGGACCCCTGTGGACCACTATTCTTGAAATCACTCTACAACATTGAACATCTATATCTACTACGTCATTTGGCAATTATTGTCATTAATCTAACTTTCTTATTAATTGCCGAGGGGGAAGAGTAAACGCTTCACATTAAAATTCAATTAACAAAATTCAAAACCATCAATACGGTATTAAATATTATGGACAAATCTATAGATCTATTTCGTAGTCATATATTCACATGATTTGCTTTATATTATTTTAATACTGTAATGAAGTACAGTAGGATTTGTGTTTCGAGAAAGAAAGGTTGCGGTCAAATTATTAACAAAAGTCCATCAGGGACTCCGTGGAGTCGAAAAAGGTACACGGCTGCTGTCTGGTGCTGCTAGGCATTTATTGATCAAGATGTTTTATTGTATTGATTTATAATGATTCTATTGTTCGTGACTAATCAAGTTCTAAGTGGAGGTATAAAGTGCTGCTCAAGATACTTCGTCATCTCATGTCCAGTATAATGATTAAGATAGTATACAATGCAGTTTTAGTAGTTGACCCATACAGTTAAGTCCGTCATAACTCACAATCGTTAAGTCGTCGGTCAATTGTCAAAGTCGTTGTGTGTTTATTCGTTGAGATAGCAGTAAGATAAGATGTTACGCGCGCGCGCGTTTAATCCCGTCGACGTGAGATGTGACAATGAAAACGCCATAGAATTATTATTTTCGCGCGTTACGTAGAGTTTACCAGTGTGTAATACTAGTTAACACTGGGTGTACACTGAGTGTAAGTGTAAGTTTCATATACAAGCCGTTGAATATTTCCAATTTTGAGTGTATCGTGAGCATGTTTTACAGTGCGATTGCTCGGTATAAGGTTTTTTTTTTACAAATGTCTTAGACCCATAGCTAGATCTGTGAATTTTAGGCAGACCCACTCGACAGCGGCCAAATTTTGCGCATTATGAGCCCCAAGCCCGATACCCACTTTGCCTCCCAATTATATTATCATCTCGTAACTTCATAATGAAGGTTCCGTTATTCATTTAAAGATTAAGTTTTTTCGATTCTGGGCACGTAGCCCGACACAACACGTAGCCGGGGCGAAGCTCCTTTGGTTGGCTAGGGAGGGGGGAAGGCGCAGCCCCCCACAAAATTTTTGAGAAATTATGTGTTTTAGACGACATTTGGCATTAAAGAAATTTGTAGGACAGTAATAATCAGACATCACAATAATACAAAGTTGGGGGGCTAAGGGGGCGCAGCCCTGGCCTTCGGAAAATTTTTGAGAAATAGGGTGTTCCAGACGACATTTGTAGGACAGCAATAATCAGACATTACAATAATACAAGGTTGGTGGGCTGGGGGGCGCAACCCCCGGAAAATTGTTGAGAAATAGGGTGATTCAGACGACATTTGGCATTAAAGAAATTTGTAGGACAAAATTCAGCCCTGGCCTTCGGAAACTTTTTGAGAAATAGGGTGTTCCAGACGACATTTGTGGGACAGCAATAATCAGACATTACAATAATACAAGGTTGGTGGGCTGGGGGGGCGCAGTAATAATCAGACATCACAATAATATAAAGTTGGGGGACTGGGGGGGGGGGACGCAGCCCCCAAGAAAAGTTTTAGAAATTATTTGTTTTAGACGACATTAGGCATTAAAGAAATTTGTAGGACGGCGATAATACAAAGTTGGGGGTGCAGCCCCCGGAAAATTTTTGAGAAATAGGGTGTAATTTCAGACATCACAATAATACAAAGTTGGGGGCTAGGGGGGAACTCAGTACTTGTCACATTGAATGGAATAAGTACATATTGTATAGTGGGATTTGGGAATAATTTACGAAATGCTAAAGTCGATTGCCTGTCGTGTCGTTTAATCAAACAGTCATAAACACAGCCCACTTACCAGGCGACCATGGGGACTAGGGGGCTTATTTTTTTTGGGGTTCAATTTTTTTCCGGGGGTCTTCCCCTTGGCTACGTGTCTGCATTCTAGTTGCCAGACCCACTCTATTAGAGGCAGACTCAACATTTTGGTTGCCAGACCCACTATTCTAAATAGTAGTAGTGTCAGGGGCCTTTTATATATTATATTTGAGTATAATACATTTTACCTTATAATTAACCATCACTCCCGTCTAGGAAGTACTATGTATTTGTGTATGTAATTGAGATCGTATCAGCGCCTTTCATTCTACTCAACGCGTTTCATTCTACTCTAAACAAGCTTGACATATATGATAATGAAACGCGTTGAGTAGAATGAAAGGCGCTGATACGATCTCAATTACATACACAAATACATAGTACTTCCTAGACGGGAGTGATGGTTAATTATAAGGTAAAATGTATTATACTCAAATATAATATATAAAAGGCCCCTGACATCAGAGTAAATGTCAGGAATGCCTGACTTAAACCCCCTCATCCATCACTTATTTCGAATAAATGTATAGATGCTGCATTGAATTCATGAAGATATCATTCGTTTTGAGCAATCATTCCCTTAGCTCCCCCGTTCTTTGATTGTTTCAAAGAAGTAGTCAAACTACAATATGTATTTAATTGTTTAGTTACATCTATTGCTTGTTATTTAAGCCATTTCATCTCTAGTAGATTCAAATAATTTCTGTAATTCTGAATTATGTTGCTGAACAAACTTGACAATCACCATTAGAAAGAAGGTGACATGTTTATGGACCCAGAACTAGCTAAGACAGTTCTCTGTGTACATTCGGATCACTTCAAGAATCTTGTGGTTTGTTAAAAGACTTCGATCCGCTCACAGCCATGCAGATTAAGACGAATTTAGATCGAAATTATTTTGATAACAATGAAAACTCAAATGGTTTGATTTTTAGCTAAATTACCATAATTATTATAATTAATTAAATACAGGCTGACAATGTTTCATTTCACAAACTGTATCTGAATAATGTAATTTTAACTGAATCTTAAGCTGTTCAAACAGCTTTGTTAGATGATGTTATCGATGCTGTATAAGTTGAAACCTTTTGATGATGAGAGGTACATGAACAAACCTACACTAAACAATACTACATTCCAGCTTGGAACGAAATGAGTGGAGTTGAACGACGCCCTGTTTATCGAAACTACATCAATCAACTTTTCAACTATGCAGGTTATTAATGAAATAGGTACTACTATTTTTTCGGAACTAAGTCCGATCTACGCCAGATAACCCCCTCCATATATCCCTGTCCCGCATCAGGGTTCACAGTTCCTCTTTTGAGTTTGTCCCAATTTCCTTCAGTAACATAGACAAGTAGCTTTGTCTTGGTCGGCCTTGCTGTGCTCTACCATGCATAGGTTTCCATAAGACTAAATCACTGGCAAGTAGCTCAGGATGTCTGATGCAGTGTCCCGCCATTTTTAGTCTCCTGCTTCGTAACTTGTTTGACAGCCTTGGTAGACTACCATACAAAGTTATATTGCTGACCTTGTCCTTCCATGAGATACCCAGCACCATACGTAGCATCTTTGTGTATGTCCCGTCCAATACAAATGAAATAAATTATTTTTATCCTGCTTATATCAACAATCAAAATTAAAAACTTATGGATGTATATCACTCATTATTATGTATCACTCTTTAACATCTTGTCCTCACTACAAATATTACCACTTCTGATATAATAATGTTTTTTTGTGTCTTCTTTGGCTCAGGCATGGCTCCAGCTCAAAAACTTTGGGTGGGTGCAGCTTAGCGCACGGCGGGGGGGGGGGGGGGGGGGGGGGCGGGGTGAAGCCCCCTGGAAAATTTTGGAATTTTACTCTCCTAAACGTATTTTAATATCTCCAAAACAGTCTCAATTGATAACAGAAGTCAATTGACCCTTAGTTTATACAAAATTTGACAATTTTTGTGTGAACATTTTCGAATCGTTTGGGTGGGTGCAACATCCTTTGGTGGGTGCGCACCCACCCGAACCTACACGGTGGAGCCATGCCTGCTTTGGCTATCTGTTTCATTTCCAAGACCAACCGCTGATGGATAGCTCGATCTTCAGGTGATCGATCTGGAGAGATGAAAACAGTCTTATGATCTTCACACAGTCTCAGCTTTTTGGCATTTACTAATATCTCATGAACGGTAAGTTAGAATTACTTAGCGAAACTTTGACTGGTCTCGTCTTGTTGGCTGATTTTCTCCCAACCCAGATAACTTCAAAACGTGGTTTTTCTTCAATCTGCTGAAAAATCACGGTAACTTTATTGCACAGTTCCTCTTCATCAGTCTCCTTCAAACCAAAGATGAGCACATTCCTACTGCGATCCTCTTCCGATACAGCATTCTGTACAACCTTTTTTAAACTCTCTTCTGCAAGCACAGGTGCATTTTAAGTCACAGCTTGACTGTATGAGTTCATCTCAGCTTGGACAGTGTCTTGAACGGCGGTCTTGACGTTGAAGTGCACGGATTCCAACTGCTTCGATTTAGTTTCCAGAAGTTCAGCCTGCAGCTTGATAACAGTACTTTGCGATCGGATAAGATCGCTCTTCAACTCCTCCATATCTTTCTTGTTATCCAGAAACGTACTTACACGATTATCGGTAGTCTGATACGCAGAATACAAATTACAAATGTTTTACTGAAACTGACTTCACCGGCTTTTTGAACGTTTCAACTGAAAACTCAGATTTATTGTCACGGTTCGTAGCTTCCGCGAGTTCAGTGATCCAACCGGCAGTTGTAATGTAGCGATAAAATAGAGATAAGAGCTAGATTATCAACACGTAACAAAAACTGTAAAACTGTATCATAATATTATTATGCTTTTAACATCATCTGTTGTGATATACATGACAAAGGGTTGGAAATATACAGTAACCTTACTATATTGCAATCACACAATATTATGTGAACGACCCCTAACCCCTTATCTAAGGCTCTATAAGTATTGAATAATGATAACTGCAGGGTTTCAAAATGTACAAGGCATCATATCAAAGACTGCATATAATGCCCGAAAGAAGGACGAATCCAATTTGGCTCTCTGGATGTATTGAAAGCTCTCAACCTTCCAGAAAAGGACTGTTCAAAGGAACACTTAAATCCCTCCGACAGGTAATTATTATAAATAATAATTTAGTTTACACTTCACTATGTCAAATCACCTACTATAATGAAGAAAATTGTTGTGTTAACCAAGTTTAATGTGACTCAATTTTGGTGGAACTTTAGAATTTGGACATTATATCTATCATGTTCATCTTAAATCTCATATTATATACTCAATATTCAATTAAACAGACAAAGATAACCTCTCTAGGCCCTCTGGTGGTGACGTATAAGTGCTTTCTCAGTACTTTCTCTCGCTTTTGGACAAATCCAGTGAGTTAACTTTTTATCAGTGGTCGACCGGGGGCAGGATTTTGACCGGGGCCGGGGAGCCCCAATATAGCCGGGGCTGGGGCTGACCACTGGGGCTGACCACTGAGAATTGGCCGGGGTTAAATTTATTGGCCGGGGCCGGTGTTTACCCCCGGCGAATTGCCAATTTTTGGCCGGGGCCGGGAAGGGCTGGGGGTTGTGATTTTGGCCGGGGCACCGGGCGACCACTGCTTTTTATGTCACGATTTTAAAAACTTTATTCATAAGTTTATGAAACATCAAAACTTTGCATGCTCTGCATTATGTAAACTCAGTCATGCACTAGAGCACAGTTCACATATAACCTAATCCAGCCTAGGGGAGGGGGTTTGAAGTCGCTTGTGCTAGAGTGATTTATACTCAATAGCTATGTGAAAAGTGGCTCAAGGAGGGGAGACCGACGTAAACAATTTTGAATTGGTAGAAGTTATGTTTAGGCTTTAATAAAATACTATTGAAAGAATATCATTCTTTTACCACAGACATAAGACTTTGCCGTAAGGTATACAAAAATGTGATCATTCATCAATTTTCAGAGTGCTGTATCTGTACCCGAATAGAAATAAAGGATTTTAATGAAATAGTTTTCTTCCGCTCTGAAAGTGAACGAATGACAAAACAGTCTAGAGAATTCCTCGCCCTGCTGCAGAAGATCAATCCTGGGTTGTGCTCACCAAAGCAAACCTCTTTTTTGTGTATTCAGTGTCTTAACTATGTAAAAGGGTGAGTGGTTTCCTCCTGTTTTACTAACATTTAAAAACATTATTATTCAAAGTTAAATAGACAGCGAGTAGTAATTTTTAATCCATTTCTATCGGATTTGCAAACTTTTAAAATGATATAACACTTGTACGATCTCAAACTTATGTGATATGATACTGTTGATATAAATGTGGGAAGTAATAAAGTATTTGCAGGTGTACAGTGCTGTTTCTGAAATTGACGAATCTTCTTGTGATGAAGATTGAAGAAGCTATTGCCATCCAAGTGGAAAAAGTCCCGCCTTTGTCACCCTCGGCCTCCTCGAATAGAACTAAGAAAATGTGGAGACTTTCTTCATTTAGTTCCCAATCAAGTGGACCAGATGTTGATTTGTTTGAAATGGACTGAGACTTGTGTTTCATATGCCAGGTTGAACAGGTTTGTGTGAAACTTTTGCTCGCAAATATAATTATTATACATATTATCTCGATTTAATTTTAAGAGTATGAGAGGATATTCTTCTTTAACAATACGAATTTCCCTAGACGTTAGAAACGAAAAAGGATAGTCTGATTCAAGGAAAAGATAAAAGTTTCTTCGTCGATTTCGCAACATACTATCTGTGGACATCTACAGAAATCGTCAGGATCTGTGCAACATCGATGTTAATCCTGATTCGCACATGAACAAGTGCCCTGTTCTTAACCCTGAGAGTCTCGGAAAATATCTCTATAGCAAGCTAGGTAGATATCACAAAACGTGTCGTTTGAGGTACAGCAACTCGAGGGTGAAACAATTGAAGGGTAAATTATCTGAAGCTGTAAGTTTAAAACCTGTCTCTAAAAACCTGTTTTAAAATGGAAAGACACGTGTCCACGCACGACATCACCAATGCTGCATTAATGAGTGCAGGTATTGACGCTGTACGGACCTTTTAACTGGAGCAGGAGAATGTTTTACCAGAACTGTACCTCGTGTCTGACCTGAAGCTTAAGTACAATGACTATGTGACCTCTAATTTATCTGAGAACGCTGCAAACTCCAGCAATGTTTAATCTGATCACATCAGTTTTCAGAAAGACAATGTCGGTAAGACGAGTTTGTATCTAATCTTGCCGCAACAATAGATTAGGATAGAGATGATAACACTTTAACAAAGACAGAACTCATAACGGAGATTAGAAAAGAAATCTTTCAATGTAGAAACGAATTCTATCAGCTATCGTTCCGTAAGACGATTTATCTTCAAAAACATGTTCGATTTACCGATCGGTGGCATCTGTAGAAATACAGTGTTTATGTGGATTAATCTGTTAAAGCAGGGCTATTGTATCATTTTAACATTAACTTTGCATAGTGATGATACGTTTATTGTGTCTCTTGTGATTATCTATTTTCTACAGTGTTACGGTACCACGAGGTTTCTGGCGCAGTGACGCGCTTTTGAGCAAATATCGTGCTAGATACGTCACGCGCCGCGAGGGCTACTTGAGAGCGTTTTGCCGGATTTTTGCCGGATTCTTGAATAACGGAAAATTGTATTGATAAATGTTCTTTAAACTCTTCAAATAGTTAGAGCACTATAATACGGTCAATTTCAGGGAGTATAAAAAAATTTCTTCATCTGTGAGTGGAGATACAAGGTCAAACACAAGAAAATATCTTCATTTGGCCAGAATTTTTGCCGGATTCTTGAATAACGGAAAATCGTATTGATAAATGTTCTTTAAACTCTTCAAATAGTTAGAACACTATAATACGGTCAATTTCAGGGAGTATAAAAAAATTTCTTCATCTGTGAGTGGAGATACAAGGTCAAACACAAGAGAATATCTTCATTTGGCCAGGATTTTTGCCGGATTCTTGAATAACGGAAAATCGTATTAATAAATGTTCTTTAAACTCTTCAAATAGTTAGAGCACTATAATACGGTCAATTTCAGGGAGTATAAAAAAATTTCTTCGTCTGTGAGTGGAGATACAAGGTCAAACACAAGAAAATATCTTCATTTGGCCAGGATTTTTGCCGGATTCTTGAATAACGGAAAATCGTATTGATAAATGTTCTTTAAACTCTTCAAATAGTTAGAGCACTATAATACGGTAAATTTCAGGGAGTATAAAAAAATTTCTTCGTCTGTGAGTGGAGATACAAGGTCAAACACAAGAAAATATCTTCATTTGGCCAGGATTTTTGCCGGATTCTTGAATAACGGAAAATCGTATTGATAAATGTTCTTTAAACTCTTCAAATAGTTAGAGCACTATAATACGGTCAATTTCAAGGAGTATAAAAAAATTTCTTCGTCTGTGAGTGGAGATACAAGGTCAAACACAAGAAAATATCTTCATTTGGCCAGAATTTTTGCCGGATTCTTGAATAACGGAAAATCGTATTGATAAATGTTCTTTAAACTCTTCAAATAGTTATAGCACTATAATACGGTCAATTTCAGGGAGTATAAAAAAATTTCTTCGTCTTTGAGTGGAGATACAAGGTCAAACACAAGAGAATATCTTCATTTAACCAGGATTTTTGCCGGATTCTTGAATAACGGAAAATCGTATTGATAAATGTTCTTTAAACTCTTCAAATAGTTAGAGCACTATAATACGGTCAATTTCAGGGAGTATAAAAAAATTTCTTCGTCTGTGAGTGGAGATACAAGGTCAAACACAAGAAAATATCTTCATTTGGCCAGGATTTTTTGCCGGATTCTTGAATAACGGAAAATCGTATTTTAAATGTTCTTTAAACTCTTCAAATAGTTAGAGCACTATAATACGGTCAATTTCAGGGAGTATAAAAAAATTTCTTCGTCTGTGAGTGGAGATACAAGGTCAAACACAAGAGAATATCTTCATTTGGCCAGGATTTTTGCCGGATTCTTGAATAACGGAAAATCGTATTGATAAATGTTCTTTAAACTCTTCAAATAGTTAGAGCACTATAATACGGTCAATTTCAGGGAGTATAAAAAAATTTCTTCGTCTGTGAGTGGAGATACAAGGTCAAACACAAGAAAATATCTTCATTTGGCCAGAATTTTTGCCGGATTCTTGAATAACGGAAAATCGTATTGATAAATGTTCTTTAAACTCTTCAAATAGTTAGAGCACTATAATACGGTCAATTTCAGGGAGTATAAAAAAATTTCTTCGTCTGTGAGTGGAGATACAAGGTCAAACACAAGAAAATATCTTCATTTGGCCAGGATTTTTGCCGGATTCTTGAATAACGGAAAATCGTATTGATAAATGTTCTTTAAACTCTTCAAATAGTTAGAGCACTATAATACGGTCAATTTCAGGGAGTATAAAAAAATTTCTTCGTCTGTGAGTGGAGATACAAGGTCAAACACAAGAAAATAACTTCATTTGGCCAGAATTTTTGCCGGATTCTTGAATAACGGAAAATCGTATTGATAAATGTTCTTTAAACTCTTCAAATAGTTAGAGCACTATAATACGGTCAATTTCAGGGAGTATAAAAAAATTTCTTCGTCTGTGAGTGGAGATACAAGGTCAAACACAAGAAAATATCTTCATTTGGCCAGAATTTTTGCCGGATTCTTGAATAACGGAAAATCGTATTGATAAATGTTCTTTAAACTCTTCAAATAGTTAGAGCACTATAATACGGTCAATTTCAGGGAGTATAAAAATATTTCTTCGTCTGTGAGTGGAGATACAAGGTCAAACACAAGAAAATATCTTCATTTGGCCAGAATTTTTGCCGGATTCTTGAATAACGGAAAATCGTATTGATAAATGTTCTTTAAACTCTTCAAATAGTTAGAGCACTATAATACGGTCAATTTCAGGGAGTATAAAAAATTTCTTCATCTGTGAGTGGAGATACAAGGTCAAACACAAGAAAATATCTTCATTTGGCCAGAATTTTTGCCGGATTCTTGAATAACGGAAAATCGTATTGATAAATGTTCTTTAAACTCTTCAAATAGTTAGAGCACTATAATACGGTCAATTTCAGGGAGTATAAAAAAATTTCTTCGTCTGTGAGTGGAGATACAAGGTCAAACACAAGAAAATATCTTCATTTGGCCAGGATTTTTGCCGGATTCTTGAATAACGGAAAATCGTATTGATAAATGTTCTTTAAACTCTTCAAATAGTTAGAGCACTATAATACGGTCAATTTCAGGGAGTATAAAAAAATTTCTTCGTCTGTGAGTGGAGATACAAGGTCAAACACAAGAAAATATCTTCATTTGGCCAGGATTTTTGCCGGATTCTTGAATAACGGAAAATCGTATTGATAAATGTTCTTTAAACTCTTCAAATAGTTAGAGCACTATAATACGGTCAATTTCAGGGAGTATAAAAAAATTTCTTCGTCTGTGAGTGGAGATACAAGGTCAAACACAAGAAAATATCTTCATTTGGCCAGAATTTTTGCCGGATTCTTGAATAACGGAAAATCGTATTGATAAATGTTCTTTAAACTCTTCAAATAGTTAGAGCACTATAATACGGTCAATTTCAGGGAGTATAAAAAAATTTCTTCGTCTTTGAGTGGAGATACAAGGTCAAACACAAGAGAATATCTTCATTTGGCCAGGATTTTTGCCGGATTCTTGAATAACGGAAAATCGTATTGATAAATGTTCTTTAAACTCTTCAAATAGTTAGAGCACTATAATACGGTCAATTTCAGGGAGTATAAAAAAATTTCTTCGTCTGTGAGTGGAGATACAAGGTCAAACACAAGAAAATATCTTCATTTGGCCAGGATTTTTGCCGGATTCTTGAATAACGGAAAATCGTATTGATAAATGTTCTTTAAACTCTTCAAATAGTTAGAGCACTATAATACGGTCAATTTCAGGGAGTATAAAAAAATTTCTTCGTCTGTGAGTGGAGATACAAGGTCAAACACAAGAAAATATCTTCATTTGGCCAGGATTTTTGCCGGATTCTTGAATAACGGAAAATCGTATTGATAAATGTTCTTTAAACTCTTCAAATAGTTAGAGCACTATAATACGGTCAATTTCAGGGAGTATAAAAAAATTTCTTCGTCTGTGAGTGGAGATACAAGGTCAAACACAAGAAAATATCTTCATTTGGCCAGGATTTTTGCCGGATTCTTGAATAACGGAAAATCGTATTGATAAATGTTCTTTAAACTCTTCAAATAGTTAGAGCACTATAATACGGTCAATTTCAGGGAGTATAAAAAAATTTCTTCGTCTGTGACCTAGCGGAATCCATAAACTAGTCAGTGGCAACATTTTACATACCATCTTGCACAAAATAAAGGAGGAATCTCTAATGCATCGCAGTGTTATAATAGTGACCACTATTAAAGTCTAAATGCTGTCAATTTTGAATCATAACAATCAGCAACACAAATTGGCCAGCTTCATAGATTTCCAGTCCATGGTTTGCTTTCGAGGCAGGGATTTACATAATGTGATATGTGAAATGTTTGTGATTTCCTGTGTCAGTGCACTAACACTATGCGAGTTGAGTGTGAACATGTTGCCACTGTCCAAAAAATCAACCATAGTATTCATCAAACCTGCTGATTAGAAGTTTTAATAAGGGGACCTGAAAACCTCATTATATTATACTGTATATATTATTAATTTATTTTAAAATATCAAGAAAAAAATGAATAATTACTGTATTAAGTTATTTTAGAACACAGTATCAATCTAAACAATTGTATACAATGATTGTTAATCATTATTTAATTTAAAAGTTCGTTTAAGTTTATGTAAACGTATGGTTATGGTTGCCATTATATGAATTGAACATGAAATTGAAAAAATGTTATTTTTCTTTAACTTCTGTAATACTAGAATGATAATGTGGAAGATCTCATGGGGTATTACATGTAAATTTTTATAATTTAATATTATATATTATATTTTTAATATCATGTTCAAAGTTTGTACCAGCAAAATAAGGTGTTTCAATTAATTAGACTAGATTTTGTACTATATATGGAAGTATGAAATAAATACAACTATAAAACCATCGTGGAGTCATCAGTCAATGGGGAATGTTTCGTGATTTGCAGCACATCCTCGATCACAGACATGGAAATTTGTTAAATGCATAAAGATATTCTCTTGTGTTTGACCTTTTATCTCCACTCACAGACGAAGAAATTTTTTTATACTCCCTGAAATTGACCGTAGTATAGTGCTCTAACTATTTGAAGAGTTTAAAGAAAATTTTTCAATACGATTTTCCGTTATTCAAGAATCCGGCAAAAATCCTGGCCAAATGAAGATATTTTCTTGTGTTTGACCTTGTATCTCCACTCACAGATGAAGAAATTTTTTTATACTCCCTGAAATTGACCGTATTATAGTGCTCTAACTATTTGAAGAGTTTAAAGAACATTTATCAATACGATTTTCCGTTATTCAAGAATCCGGCAAAAATTCTGGCCAAATGAAGATATTTTCTTGTGTTTGACCTTGTATCTCCACTCACAGACGAAGAAATTTTTTTATACTCCCTGAAATTGACCGTATTATAGTGCTCTAACTATTTGAAGAGTTTAAAGAACATTTATCAATACGATTTTCCGTTATTCAAGAATCCGGCAAAAATTCTGGCCAAACGAAGATATTTTCTTGTGTTTGACCTTGTATCTCCACTCACAGACGAAGAAATTTTTTTATACTCCCTGAAATTGACCGTATTATAGTGCTCTAACTATTTGAAGAGTTTAAAGAACATTTATCAATACGATTTTCCGTTATTCAAGAATCCGGCAAAAATTCTGGCCAAATGAAGATATTTTCTTGTGTTTGACCTTGTATCTCCACTCACAGACGAAGAAATATTTTTATACTCCCTGAAATTGACCGTATTATAGTGCTCTAACTATTTGAAGAGTTTAAAGAACATTTATCAATACGATTTTCCGTTATTCAAGAATCCGGCAAAAATTCTGGCCAAATGAAGATATTTTCTTGTGTTTGACCTTGTATCTCCACTCACAGACGAAGAAATTTTTTTATACTCCCTGAAATTGACCGTATTATAGTGCTCTAACTATTTGAAGAGTTTAAAGAACATTTATCAATACGATTTTCCGTTATTCAAGAATCCGGCAAAAATTCTGGCCAAATGAAGATATTTTCTTGTGTTTGACCTTGCATCTCCACTCACAGACGAAGAAATTTGTTTATACTCCCTGAAATTGACCGTATTATAGTGCTCTAACTATTTTAAGAGTTTAAAGAAAATTTTTCAATACGATTTTCCGTTATTCAAGAATCCGGCAAAAATTCTGGCCAAATGAAGATATTTACTTGTGTTTGACCTTGTATCTCCACTCACAGACGAAGAAATTTTTTTATACTCCCTGAAATTGACCGTATTATAGTGCTCTAACTATTTGAAGAGTTTAAAGAAAATTTATCAATACGATTTTCCGTTATTCAAGAATCCGGCAAAAGTTCTGGCCAAATGAAGATATTTTCTTGTGTTTGACCTTGTATCTCCACTCACAGACGAAGAAATTTGTTTATACTCCCTGAAATTGACCGTATTATAATGCTCTAACTATTTGAAGAGTTTAAAGAAAATCTATCAATACGATTTTCCGTTATTCAAGAATCCGGCCAAAAAATCAGCGCCAAATAACAAAACTTATCCTTGTGTTTCAGGTATTACCTAGTGATCGCTATGTCTATATTACTTCACAGTGGTATATGTGGAAGTTGGTATTGTCCTGTTAATATTTGCCGAGTTTTGTGGGCAGTTGGCCATGATTTCAAGTGATATTTTGGAAAAGTTTGGGAAATTTGCAGCGCGATTATCCGGCAAAAATCCGGCAATTCTGGTCTCAAGTACTTCTGCGCGCCGCAACCGAATCAGATTTAAGTGCACTTTTTTCATTGTAAACACTACATACGACGCGCAACACGTTCTACGTGGTCGAAATTTTCGAGGTCTCTAACACCGGAATGGAGCAATATTTAGACGATCTGACACTTTCTGGGGCTTAAGCAACCTAAGAGAAATTAGGGGAACAACTCAGAAAAAATTTTTAGTCGATATTCCGGTGTCTGTAGATGTCCGAAGTTTTGGCAGTAAAGTGCTCACAACACAGCTTCTGAAGGCTCTAGAAGGTTCCCGATACCGTCAGAGTGTTCAGTACACTCCATTCTATCATATAAGAAACCCTAAAAGAAGTCCCAGGGCTCGAGCAAAAAAGCGTGATATTTGCCCGTAACAGCCTCTACTAATAAGGAAATCAGGGTTTTGCATATGCTTCAGTAAGGGAATTGTGTTAGTAAGTCGCGTGATCGTCGAGTGTAGTGATTCATACATCATAGTTCGATAGGTTAAAAAGCAGAATTTCATTCACACTCAGTTTTTAACCAATCATTTTGCCGCACACTTAGACAACATGGACACATCATTATAACTTAGAAGTTAAATCAATATTGATTTACGTTAGAAATGTTATTAATATCAGGGACAATATTAACTATTTACACTCCCATTAATCTGAGAAGTTCAGTCGGAAGTTAAGCAAAAAACAAGGAAGCATTAAAATTGAAAATTGTAGAAAAGGTGAGTCATACAATGAATTAAGAAACTTCCGCGTGATGTCAGACTTGTCAAATTATCACAAAAATGTTTTATTCATCGTCACAACCTATGTTGTCAACAGCAACATTGCAATTCGGAGTCATTTGAGCCAGCTCAGTTTTCTTTGTCTGCTGTCAAGTGGACTCAGTAACGTTTACACTGCATCAAGAAGATTTTATGTTCTTATTCGTTCCTTCAGTTTGGACTGTTCCGTCTCTTGAGAATGTATTGGTCGAAGAAGGGGTGTCTGAGAGCTTGGGAGCACGTTAGACGTTCCTTCGGATCGTACTGGAGCAGCCCTTCCATCAGGTTGAATATTTGCTGCAGCTCTGTGGAGTACTCCCGCTGGTAGTACTGAAAGAAGAAATGGATTTAGAATTATAAGAGTGGAGTTTCAGATCGAATCGATTGAAATTCAAGAGAATAAGCATGAAATACGGTAACGATTCGAGGACCTTCGATAGTGAGTTCCGAGATAAGATTTCAAGAAAGTAACTCACTCTGAGAGGTTTGCAATTGCTGATAATGTACTGTCCTTCTCCTGAACTCCAATCCAAATTAACGAGGGAAGAATCGTTGAAGTATTTGAGTTTCTTGCTTCCTTCAAGAAGGCACTTAGGGATCGGTCCCAGAATGTGCTGCATCATACAGAGGTGCTCAAAGTTGCTGTGAGTCTGGAACATTGTTACTCCTGTCAGCAATTCGAACATAATGCACCCAATGCTCCAGAGGTCACATGCGTGCGACCATTGGTGTTCTAAGATTACTTCAGGAGCTCGGTAGTGTCTTGTCGATACTGTACCAGAGTGATGCTGAAAAAAAAGTCAGTAAGCATGACTATAACTGTACATACCAACATTTTATTCTAGATATAAGGGGAATTCCTAATGTTCCGTTTTAACTCGAAAAGTTTGTTGATCACTCTTTTACAGTCCGATTGGATCTTACCTCATGTTCGAAAGTTGCAGATCCGAAGTCGATAAGAGAAATGTCTGCCTCCTGACCGTCATTAGGTTCAATGCTCGGTAGAAGTTTGTATTTGAACAACATATTCTCTGGTTTCAAGTCAGTGTGTGTCAGCTTCATGTCGTGCATAACTGAGGTTAGATAGTTTAATTAAGGCTAATTTAACTGGTTAAAGCTAAATATTTCAATTAAAAGCTCCTATCACAGCAGGAATAATATGGCAAATTAATATGCTTCCTGTCTGCAAAACAGCTCATCCGAGTGGGGGAGGAGGTGACTGATTACTCCGAATTACTCCGAATTACTCCAAAAGACTTACAGCGGGTGGATCTGAGGAGTTGGTAAGACATTGCTCTGACAGCATCTACATTGAAAGGTTTGTATCCACTCTGTTTCTGAAAAGAAGATAAACTTAGTTGTTAAAACACACTCCTGGTGTTGAACACAAACAGTAGCTTACAGTTAACTGAAAACAAATAAACCTTTCCCTTCCTTTAAACCTTAAAAACATGCAATCAATCAACCTGCAAACATATAAATAAAGCTCAGAGCCTTTCTAATTTATTTTCTCAAATTATAACAACACAGTATTGATGTGCTGGATACAAGACATATTAATTTAATAATGGTTAGTATATTTAGCAAACTATGGCACGGCACGGCAAATATAAATGTTGGTACAGCGTACCAGGGTTCCTCTCACCATATGGTCATAAACTGATAGTCCCATGAGTTGGAACACGATACAAATGTGTCGATGATGTTCGAACCAATCAAGCATGTGTATACACCCACTGGAGACAGAATTATTATTCTGTGTGCCCAATCAACACAGCAAGTGTCCAGTGTCAAAATTTGGTTTGAATTTTGAGCTTTTGAAAAGTTCAGATCAATCCGATTTTCGAGAGTTTTCTTATTTTCAGGAAGTAATTTGCGTTGACACTGAACACTTTACAAATTCTTCGTAAGATAAAATAATTCCATGGATAGTAGAGTAGTTAATATTAAAGGATGGTCTTTAACATGAATCTTTGTCAAATAAATAACATTTAAAAAAGGGATTGAAATTATTGATGTCATTACTGACTGTTATAAATATAATAGTTAAGAAAGTGACAAGTTTGGTAAAGATATAGTCGGTATGAGTTTGCTAGTTAGAGTAAGGCTCCCCTATCTCGGGGCCTTTACCTCTCATCATAAGGATCGTGATCCCGTAATTTCTGCAAGATCTTAACTTCAATTTTAGCAGCATCGGTATATCTATCGATACCTTTCACGATCTTAACCGCGACAGCCGTTTTGTGACCTCTGCAAGTGAAAGTCATACAACACCGGGTATTAACAAAGAGTTAAAATAGGCTCAAATGAAGCAGCATTCTTTGTATTTGGAGGTATGATCATTTTGGGGCGAGGACAATTGTTCACCCAGGAAATAACTATCCCGCTTCCGATTTCAGAACAAAAAGAACATGATAAAATGGGATATCGTATCAGAGGCGGGATGGCTGAATCCTTTAGTTACAAAGTTAGTAGTTCAAGAAGAACTGCACAGTACTGGTTACCGTAATTACCTCTTAACACACTTGACTACTTTGCCGAAAGTCCCCTCGCCTAAGTTTTCAACAATTTCGTCTGAAGTAGATGTAAAAATAACCAAATTGTTTGAGGTCAGTGAATGTCTAAGGAGTGAGTGACCCACAATTTGTTTGATGGGTAGTATATCCTACAGTAAAATTGTAAAATTCGAAGTCTACTTACATTTGCCTCCAATGCAGTCACCATTCCTGAATTTCAAATGTCCCTCTGAATCAACCTCTCTTGGCGATTTACTTCTTCTCTTCTGAAATTGAAAGATAGTTAAGTTTCAGGAGCCATGAGAATTGTGAAGGAATGCAGCTTCTACCCTTCATCTAAAAACACTTTACCCCAGTTCACAGTATTGATACGTCTTGAGGAGGGTTAAAAAGTCTACCAAAAAGGAGCAAACTTTTGAAAACAAGTGCAATTGATAGATAGATGATATCTTTTTATTAGAGCACAGATACGAGAAGTTGAAAATTCCCTGTTTGCTATTACCCAACGTACATTTCGGTGTTTGTCATGATCACGAGATGTCCTCTTTGAAGATCTCCGCGGAGATGTGGACCTCCGTCTCTTTCTGCTGGAGGATGAATTCTTCTCCTGCTTCCTGTGCTTCCTCTTGTATCTATCAGAATCGTATTCATGCAAGTATTGGCTGTTCATAGCGCTTATCATTACTAAAAGAAATACCGGTTAGTCAAGGTAGCTTTTGGGATTTAATTTTAAGTTTTGAAGTATCGAAAATTTATTATTCGACTATCCATGAGAGACAGATCAGTATTAACCGCATGAAAAAGTGAAAACAATCCGTATGCCCGGGTTTAAGAACACGAAAAGTAAAGATTAAAGCCACCGAGAGCACATCTACAAAACGACTCGCCAGTACTACAAGGACAACGGCACACAGAGAGCAATGGACGCGACAAGTCACGTGTAGCGCGCATGGGCAGATTATTCCCTATTTGGAAACTAAAATGCGTCCACGTGACAACGCGGGTAGTCATGCGGAGGCCACCTGACCGAGTCACATGGCGAGCTTACGTAGCGCGCGCTCTACTTTACAACAGCTTATAAATGGGTGAGTTATCATGGACTAGACTGTACATTCGATCTGAAGGTGACTTTACTGCTGTGAGAGAGAGTTATCTCACAAAATTTTGTGACGAGTAGGTTAGCTAAAGCTAATTCTATTTATTACTGCCTCGTGATTTGACCGTCCATAAAAGGCCAAAGTAGAGTTGACTTTCGACAAACATGGATATTCTAATTTAATGCGACTTTCGTCAGGTCACAGATATTAACATACATTTTCAGTGTAATTTGACCACGTATGAGCCAGGAAGGTGAACTTCTACCTTTATTATTATGGATTCATGGTACAAAAAGCAGACGTATAATATGGTCAAGTGTGGCTTCCCTTAACCAATTCGTCAAAATGCTGCCATCCGGTTCTTGTCTTAGAGAATTCGGTAGCAGAAACTGGGCATCAAGCAACTCAAAGCGAGATAGTTCAGGAAGGCAAGCGTTTTTAACTTCTCGCTCCGTCATCAAAACTTCTTAAAGCTAAAAACTTTGACTGTGCCACTATATTTCCAGAATCCAGATGACAACCAGTCGAAACTTAGGTTTTTGGAGTGACAGCCCACGTAGCATAAAAATAATGATGTCACATTTCTCTTGTCGTGATCGAGAATGTTCCATCTTATCTTCAAATCAGAACCGAAGACAGAACTACAACCCATAGTACACACTACACATTGATGATAAAGGATGTGTAAAGCAGAGATTATGACACCAGGACAGTAAGTGTGAATAAATTATTATCAGTTATTATTTACAAAAGGCGTGTCAAGTATCGGTCACTATAATTTTATCATCTCCGAGGGCAGACCATTAGTCCGACTTTACGACGCTAAGATATGACGACGTGCGTAATTCTACGGTTCAGTTCAAGACTTTTCCGCATCAGAAACTCACCGAAATTTAATCGATAGATGGTAAAAACAACGTCAAAACTACAGAAAGTTGACGTTGATATTATCATGCTCTGCAGAGTTAAACACAACATACAAATACACAATCTATTAAACTTTGATAAAAAGCATTATATTATATCAAAAACTGGTAGTGTAGACAATTCTGAAAATCAAGTTCGCTAACAACGTCCACAGATGCAAAGGGGTCGAATCTTAATAGAAAATGTCTTTATGGTGATAGTTGATACTTTAAATAACAAGTTAATGCTACTCAAATAGTTGGGGTGCGATTAACACGACGATAAACTTGGCACAATTTATCTTTCAAGTGGCAGCTAACCAGTTTAAAATTTCGTAAAACCTAACTTCGAGGAAACTCGATACAAACAAATCATTCTTATCTGTTTAGGAGATATCTTTTGTATCATGTATCTAAGTGGTTCTTGATAGTGCAGCTAAATGGAGGCTAGCCTAAATATTAAGAATTACAATCAAAATAAAAACTTGGCGAAATTAGTAACCACTTCATACAGGATGGCCCAAAGTTGTGACCGCAACGACTGGGTTAATTGCTCGACTACGATTCGTGTGCCAGCGACGTTTACAAAACCAGGTAAAAGCACGCTTTGCTTTCTTATGATCAAATTCCCAAGCAGATCAAAAAATAAATTGTTAAAAGAATGGTTGAAGTTGTGTAGAGTTAACATTCCAGCGTTGCAATCACGTGATATTTGGCTCACCCTGTACTATAACACAAACCTGTATACAACGGTCTGACTGTATAAAATAGCTTTCGTTGGAGTGACGTAGCGTTTACAACATCTTGATATCTCTAGATTCTAGAGATTAGAAGGCAGGAAAAGAAGTGAGGGATAGAAATTAAGAAGCTGAGTAAGGGCCACTGAATCAGCAACTTAAACGCCTCCACAGTATACTTGGAAATCCAATGGGAAATGTAAGGGATGTAGGGAACACTACGCCACTTAGCCGCTGACAAAGTTCACTTTTCCGATAAAAAGTGTAATAAGTTAAATAGTTAAATCTAATGTAAAAACTATAAAAACTAAAATCACCATTGCATCTTCGTTCACAGTTACATATCCCTCTCAATACAACATAAAGAGATAAGGAACATTTTAACAGAGCTGTGAACGACAACCCACTCTCTAAGATTAACCTCAATTAACCTCAATTAACCTCAATTAACCTTCTGAGAACCAGAACCCGGCTCGGTGTGTGTGTTTATGGCTCGAGCTGAGCATGTTTCATCAAACTCAGTGTTCAGCGTCGAAACTTGTTTAATTTCTTGATACATATCTTAACAGCCACACATTAAGATCTTTAAATACCATCCTCTAGTAGTCAACTATTTGAGATAGCCAAAAGTGTCACATTTGTAAAATATTTCAAGGTAAGGTAACTAGTGGCTCCTATAATTACAGTACTGTATGGCCTGGATATGGTTGAGTAAATGAGTAGTTACTCTTTCTAATGGCATGATGCTCAAACAGTTCATGTTATGAACTGAGGAATGAGCCATTTTCTGGCCCAGATTTAAGTGCTGCCCAGGCAAATTTGCCTGGAGAAATATACTCATAAGGCAAGGGTGCAAAAGACATTTTTACTACCAAAGAAATACAGACAAGAAATGGGAGAGAATAAAATAAAATGTGACTGCCCGCTTAATAAGACCAATTACTGACAGTGAAAGGAGGTGCACCGTCCAATTAACTCAATTACTCTCAGTCATTTCGACATGTAATAATTATTTAGAGCACTGATAAGGCTTAGCTGTAATTGATAACATGACAATTAACGTTACCTAAATTTTGTAATTGGCAGTGAATGTGAACAGGCGTTTTATTGAAACTAGTCGACAAGGAATTAGGAAAATTCCTAAATTCACAGCAGGAGAGCACAAAAGTTTTATAACTTGAAATATAAACAAGTTTCGGCACTGAATAAGAGTTAAATGATACATCCTAAGGTGAGAGTCATAAGCACACAGTAGAGTTTTGCACTTGACAACTGACAAGTCCGTTATTGAGGTGTCGTCATGACAACATCATGTTATTTTCAGTTGTCTCGTGATCTGCACGTGGTAGGTGAAGTTGAACGCACACGTCACGTCTGAATATGGCCACGTGTTGAGTAAACCTGAGGGAGAGAGGAAATGTTATTGGAAACACGGTCTGACCATTAATCAGGGCGGCAAATCATTGACTTTCTTCCTCGAATCACATGGACCTGAAACTCTAGGTCTATTAAATACACGAGGTGCTCAAACAACAGCTGATAATAAAATCACACAGCAAATCAAATGTTAGAGCTGGTGCAGAGTGAAACAGAAATCCTGGCTAATCACTGTGAGACTCGTTTCATGGTAACTGGCGCTGGTTACTTGGTAACTAGCGCTGGTTACTTCAACTACTCGGATCAAATTGTGTGACTGCAGGGCTGACACATTCATCAGGTCATGGAATCACTTAGAGAAGGGTTAACGGAGGGAGGAAGAAAACCGGATTTCTGTTGCACGATGTTGCCACAATACCACTGATCTAGGTATAAAACACCATCATTATGTCGTTCGTCTGGGAGACTTTGGCCGGCTGCAATTGGTTGTTTATGTCACGTCTGAATAAGGCCATGTTCTGTGTTAATCTGGTGGGAGGAGCAAGTTAGGTGCAGCTGGAATCAGCCATACACGGTAAGATCAAAGCTCACTTTTTTTCTGAAAAGAAGTCACGAAAACGGAAATTTTGTTTGGCATTTTAATTTTTGGATTTTTGTTAAGTTTGAAGATTGAGCAAGGTTTGAGATGGTGAGCAAGGTTTCTGGTTGAATGTAGTGTTGAACTTAAATAGTGGTGTGACAGCCTCTCTTGGACTCACGATTCTGCGAAAATTGCAGCAAACGATGATGTTAGGAGAAGTACAGAGCCCTAAAATTGCCAACACAAGACAAAAAGCAACACAAATAGTTCAGAATGTGATATACTGAGAACGGGCAGGCTGTGGACACATATATTAGTGTATAGCATAGTACATTGTACATTGTAAAGCAACTCTAAAATAAATCTACAAACACAATGACACACGTTGCACGCAAATACCTTCACGACATACTTGCAAATACCTTGATCTCACACACTTGCAAATACCTTCACACACACAGTCTAATTCTACATGTACGTGTGAGAGTGAGAGAAGTAAAATCTCAACATTTCTTACCTGTCCCTGTTCTTTCCGAGCAGGTTAGGTTCCACGTCCGTCATGAGGTTCTCAAAACATTTGGCCAGCAATCCTTGTTTGTCAGGAGGCTGCATTGATACAAAGTTCTGCTGCATCTCCTTGAAATACTGAAAAAACCAGGAGTAGTTGGTGGTGGGTTATAATTTCTACCTATCTTCTTAAATATAATGTAAGTTGTATGCATGTCATCTATGACATAAAACCAGGAGTGATCGGTCACTTCGTATGGAATAAGACGAAGAAGCTTTATGACGTTTACATTTTATATGACCATGTAAATGTACAATGTGACGTGTAAAAGTGGAAACACAGTCCACAAATCATACCTATCACTATAAGAGTAAACTTAAATGAAGATCTGTTATTGTGTTATTGTGTGAAGTTAAACATAGATATCGATATACTTTAACAAGATACATATAACAGAGATATACTCACATCCTGATTAAGGAGAATAAGGCCAAGGAGCGGTCTACTCATGCTCCACTGGTTCTTACATTCCTCGTACATCACTATGTGAACTATCGAGTTCATTATCTGAAATACGCAGAATTTCGAGATACAAATTTCCGTATTACATTAGTCAGTCAGTCCTTAGACATCATAAAACAAATATCACAATATGATTACCTCTTTAATTTACAGACTCTTGCAAAAGCAATAATCTGTAAGAATATGAATTTAAAAATAATTAATAAACCTGCTGGAAGACGTTATTCTGCATCTTAACGATGTCTCTGAGTTTCTCCACGACCATGGTTTCCCCATTCCGCTTTGTCTTCTTGAAGATAAAAGTGATAACGTTGTCCAGTGAGCTGCAACACGCTGTACTTACTGTCACATCTGCGATAAGGTCAATTAATATTCACTTACAACCTATACACTAATACTCTTTTTCAGACTTCCTGTATAAATTTCCTCAGTCCTTGCAGTTTCAAATTTCTCATTTAATCATCATTCTCGAAACTTAATTATTAAAGCACAAAGTTCTACCAAATCAACTTACTCACAAAATTAATTGTGTAAAAGCTTACCGACGGATGCGATTCCTTCAGCCAGGGTGGATAAAATGTATACTATCACATTAGGATCCACGTTCCCTAGTAAAGTCATATGATCTTGAGTAACTATGTCCATGAGGGAATAGTACGCGCTGCTCAACTTGGGATATTCCTGACGAAGAGAAAATTGTGAAAATGGGACTAAATAACGTGTATTAGTGTGTTCAATAAGTTGTTGTACATTCCGCACATTTCTCGGCACATTCAGAGCCTTTAGCCCCGACCGAAAAGCAAACATTAAAAAATAGCACACATTCTTTTGCTCAGTACATACCATAAGAGCTCGGTCAGGTAGAGCACCCAATAACTTTATAAACATATTTATAGCGTTCATATGACACTCGTCCCCGTAGAGCTGAAACACTCCAAAGTTGACGTATCCGCCGGCGAGGGCGGATCTGAGAATTTGGAAACACAAACTGATCTGTTTGAGTTTTGTGCGGTACATTGCATCGTCCGGCACGTCCGTGATAGCTAACACTCGCTCTCCTGGTGAGAGAGGGGTGGTGAGCTGATAAGTGAGGTCTGAACACTAGACACAATTTACAGGGTGGTACCTATTCCAATCGCTAATTTATTCATGATCATCAATTAAACCATCTTGAAGTAAGTTATAATACAATAATTGTGAATATTACCGTATTGAGAGAGGAGTTTGGAGACTTCTCTAAAGAGAAGTATGCCATTAGGAGAGCTAACATCAAACATCAACCTCTGAGACTTGTTCTGCACAATCTCTGCTACACACCTCAACACGGCGGTTGTCAAGAGAGGGCAGTCAGCCCAGCGAACCAGCGCCTGGGTCAACAGCGGCAGATACTTGGGGTACAGCCAGTCGAAGAACATGATAAAACAGGATTTGTTGGTGAAGGAGAGGACAAGACCCCTCAGATCACAACATAATCCAACTGTTTTTAGTTTCAGTTGCTCGTCGTATTGGACTTGGTTTGTAGCGATCTGCTCGAACATACTCTCTATCGTAGCTGAGGGTGAAAATGCTGTATTTAAGGGATTACGAAATAGTCAGCTTGAAAGCACCCGTAAATAATAACACATCTAATATCTAAATATAAACTAACTTGTTAAAGGATGCATGAACTCAGTGAACTTCTCCTCGTCCTCTCCCAGATCCACTAACAGTATTCTACCTAGGGACTGGTAGAATAACTGTCTCGTTTTCAGACATTCTGACGAAAAGTCGCCCAAGAAGGGGAAATTATCTGCCTGCGATTTTATATTTGTTAGAAACGAAGTAGGCTATTGCATGTATAGTCAGACTGTTTTAACTGAGAATTGGCAGTGTAAGAAACAGATAAACATTACTAATTAACTGTCAACTCGTTACAATAGTAACTGAAAGTGGAAATGCCTGGACTTACGTTATGATTAGCAAGCATAAACTTGACGGCATCTAACTTGCTCATTTTTCTAACACAGGTATAACCAATGCTGAGGTTGTTAAATAGCTGCATAGTTTCATCAACTATGTCTCTGTTCTTAGACCAATACCGGAGGTTTGTCAATCTGGATGGCAATAGAGTTACAATATTTTTTTTAACGAAAAGTGGTACAAATTTGTTTGTATTTTCAGTATCCAAAATCGTGAGAAAACCGGTAAAATTTCAAAGAAGTGGTTGCAAGAGTTTTACAAATTTCTTACATTTTCTTAATCAGAACATCGAGCAGCATACTCTCTTCAGTTAAACCAAGAGTCTCTGCAAGGATCTTGTAAACCTGGGGGGTAGGCTATCAGGAAATAAAGGATAGTATCTTGATAGCGTCATCTTCATCACGTGATATATTCAGCTGAGTCGGGGTGAAAGTCAGCTCAATGGGATGCTGCCAGGAGAGAAATAATTATCAAGTTATCAAGAACCGGCAATTTTATCCTATCAAAATTACTAACTACATAATAAGTAGGAGTGAAGTGATGGGGGTGGGAAGGTTGGTTTGCTGGGGTGAAAGTTGGAATCATCGACACTTTTCACATTGAATTTTGAACGATGAAAATCATTCACATGTTTTACGATGGGACGAAAATTCTTCTAGATTGATACCAAGTGTCGATGATCCCCAGCTTTTCTACATGCATATCTGAGAAAAAAGAACAGCAGATATACAAAATTTTAGTATGATAATGGCGGCAGCGCATCTGGCAAAAGTTTATATGAAGAAAATTGTGCCAGAATACCTTAAACCATCACAAAAAGTAGTTTGCAGCTTCAAAAACAGATATATGACATTTGATGCACAGAGGTAGCACCAGAATTTAATAGAAATACTGATTTACACCACATCACTGGGTATGATTCTTACTCTACAGGTAACAGTGCTCATCATTTCAGTGGAATTCTGTAAAAATATATGCATAATTTTGTCTTGAAATGAAGGGATCGGGGTCATTGAATTTCGATATTTTGAATTCAGCTTAAACATATGAAAATAGTTTTAGTTACACGTGACAAATGAAATATTTGAGTGACTTCCACCCAAACCCAGTTCCAGGTTCTTACCTCTTTGAAGCGCATTCTAGTGTTACTGATAACTGGTATCTTCGACTGCAATGGGTTAGTCCAAATAATACGACACAGGCACAAAAGTACAAAAGATTTTTCCCGCAGTCAGGCGAAAGGAAGATTCATGCAAAAGTTGATTTAAATCTTTACTTAAGCCAAAGTTTCACCCATTGCATTAGCAAACTCGAATTTCATTCAAAATCAGAAATAATCGATATTTGAGTTAAAAGTATAATTGATCACGCTCATTAATCAATCACAATCAGGAGAATACAGAAATCACAATACAATATTTATGTAGATTTCATTGAATGCTCTAAAAAATTTGGTTTCTTTGCTTACATTAGACGGTCGGTTAACTTGTTCTCCGATGTAAATCCTTCTGAACTGATCGAAAAAGAAGACAAATCCAACTTCCAAGTTTTTACTTCCGTGTTGTTCAAGCCTCGCATCGGAGATCTGCATTAACCTCAACACACTGAAAAGTTTAACATTATTTAAGAGTATAACACTAAGGGGATTGAATTGAATAAACTATCACGATAAATTCGAAAGGGTTTGTGAAAAATTGCCAACACCCGGCCATGTCGAGATATATCTGAGCGCGTAAAATACAGAAGAAAATACCAGAAGAAATTCACGTTATGCGCGAAAATAAGGACTATTTGCACACGCAAAAGTGACCGCCGCCCACGAGAACAGACAAATATTTTCCAATTTTGCCATTTTCCGCGCCCAAAAACCATTTTTGATCGTCTATTTGGCAAGTGAAATTTTCAGCCAAGTTTCACGGTTATCAGCTGCAGTCAGAAACAGAACAAACTGTCACTAAGGATACCCAAAATTTTCCATATCATCTCCAATAGGTACAGAATCTACACGGAATATTCCGGATGTCGAAAAAACTTCTAGAACACAAATATGGTTGTCGTACAGGCTAATTTTAACAGTAATGCTTCTTGAAGGCGAACAGATGCGACGTACCTGCATATCAATCTGCCGTCTAAAGTATCATTATCGTCATTAACTTGGAAGCTCACTCTTCCTCCGATCATTGACCCAATGAATAAAACGATCCAAGTTAGTCTATCTGCGGGATTGAAACCTTATTTGCATTCTTAGCGTTTCTTTTCAGTGAGGATATAGAATAAAGTACAAAATATTTTTAAGCTCTTCTTTGGAAAGCCAGTAGAGGGTGTGGTTTCACTCAAGAAATTTGATTTCTGACAAAAAATATCAAAATTACTCAGAAATAAAACCGAAGAAAAAGATATTATCCTACTTTCGAGAATAGTGAGGTTTTGAAGTGACAAGGAACTGGCGCTCTGGAATGCGGACACTGCTTCCTCAAGCAGGGCTATCACTGTGTTACAATTAGTGGGATATTCGATACGAACAACCGTTGATAAAAGGTCTAATTGTTGGTGTAATGTGGCCACGTCGTCCAAAGGGTCTTCTAATCCGTCCCTGTGATAAAAGTGATATGGTTTATAGAATATACCTTTTCCATTAGGTCATACATGATTATATTATATCATTCAGTAAAAATATTACCTATAATAACAAGGTAATCATAAAGATAATGATCATTAAGAATGATGATGATAATTATAATACAATTTAATTACAGACAATGCAGACTATAAATTATATAATTTTAGCAATTATGTACATAGATCATTAGCAAACAACGGTAGTCAATGAATAATGTTATTCCACCTAAACCAACCTTAAAACTCCAAGAACCAATTCCAGTCTGGATTTGAGGAATGTTTTGCTGATTTGTGGTGCGTAGACAGGGAGATAATGATTTTTATCACTTTTAACATAGGGCACAGCTGTACAAAGGCGCTGCCAAAGTGACAAAAGATAGTGTATACTGTTGGAGGAGAAGTGCCAATTCTGAAATATTTACACACTGTCAAAGCTTATCTTTCCAGTCAGCCAACCGAGGAGGACACACTACGGATACCAATACATTTTGAAGGAATTATCATTGCTGTCTACTGTACATATTAGTATCATATGTCAAGGAATTTTTCTGAGTAAGTAAATATTGTAAAAATAATCTCATCAGTTACCTCTAAACTAGATATAGTGAACTTGGCGATGGTATCAATGATACCTTCGTATCCCTCGATATCCACGATTTCATTAAGCTGATAGTTACATTTGAGTTTAGCCAGCAGTCTGCAGAACTGATGGTAACAGGCTGGCTCACTCAGTATTGAACCGTTGTCTAATACCTGAAAAAAGGGGTATGTCACCTAAACACCACGATGTGGGTACAAAAATGGGTAAATAAAACTCGTAAATCTTTTCAGCACAGCTATTAGCTAAGCTGTCTGTTTCTGTATTATTAATTATAAATTAAACGTTTTGTAATTGTTCCAGTGGAAGTCTAGATCAAGCTCTGGAATGTGAATATTAGTCATCAGCTTGAAACGGAATGTCGACCACATTATACACATTATACACATTGTGAAAGTTTACAGGATAAATGGCAAATTTTACCTTTTTAATGCCATCCATTATACTCTGCAGGTAACTTTTTCGTTCAGTTGTTGAAAATAGAGATCTTCTCACCGATACTAATTGTACCAATATTTGCAATGCCTGCAAACAATTTATTTAGCCATGAAATCAGGCTCTGTCATTCAAGAAACTTGTTTAATTCGTAATCAATTTTCCTGCCACAATTAGATTTCAGTCATTTTATATTTTCTTGCTAACAATGATTTCACAGTAACTCACTGACATTATGCCTTCTCATTAAAAAGCAATTAATTTAAAGAAATGACATTACCGACGACTGCTTACCCAGCATATAATGTATATACCTACCATCATATTTCCTGATTGGTTATCAGATATATTGCCGACTGATGCGCTAAAAATAAATATCATCTGTGAGGATTTCACAATATCTACCTTTTCTGAGAGGGTGGGAGGGAGGCTTATAGCCAGATCGTAAAACATGGGGAGCAGATCATTGCTGATAAACGCTGAAATATTAAATTAGTTAATTAGATAATTTGTTCAATTAGCCTCCATTATTGAAGCGACATAATGTAACAAATCTAATTACCGGTGCTATTGATCAGAGAGATCCGTACATTACTTATCAGGCAAGGCAATTAGCTGACATTATTTTCACAGATAAAGATGAGTGTGTAGCATATTAGTTGTACACCGTCTATTAATAGAAACACAGCGACTGTACATTGACAAGCACACAAGACACACAATATGTGTGTAATTACACACTTTTGTAACCATAATAGGTTCAGAATTGTGTGACGTGTGTGTTGATGCAACCAATTTAACTATTTGACAAAAATTGGTGTCTTGTTTGCTTAGACCTTCCGTTATTTTATATTTTGACATAATTAGGACTTAATTAAGAAAAGCTTACATTGCACTGGAGTGAAGATCTATGCTATAATCTATATATAGCTCAGTGTATATATTTGTGTAGCATTTGAAAGGTGAAAGTTGAAGCTCTCAATTACGTGATATCCCACCACAAAGTAGACATAGTAGGCCGGCTAACCACATTAGATATACAATAGTACACTGTAATATGTTACACAACGTGCAGTATTTCAATGTTACAACTTCACCACTTTGACTCGTGCATTTTAACAACTCTGTATAAAAATAGTATAAAGTGCACATACGTATAATATCATAGCGAATCTGGAAAGATGATATGATATGTTGTCATAAATATTAGATACCTAGTTAGTATGGTTTTTACGTTTACTCCGGTCGTGTTTCAATTAGTTTAGAGAGTGCTTTGGAATTTTCAGAGTAGCACATCTTTTAGCTGCACTAGTATAAGTGGGTACATTCTAGTGGCGTTTAGTTTCAAACCTTAAACATTTGGTGCAGCCACTATATATTCGGTGATTTCTTTTATACCCACGTATGATTTCTCGAAAACGAACCATACCTAAAATCGCGTACATTTAAAGTTCGTTCAACTTCAAGTGCTTAGATCATGGCCGATCTGGCGACACGATTTATCGACTATAGTATTTATATCATTTACGTAATTCGTAAAAATAACTGTGACTATTTTAGCTGGACATTTATATGTAGTAGGCTGTTGCATACCTCTTGACAGAAGTTACGAAAGAACGATAATTATACAGCTTTAGGTAATACTGTAACAGTAAAATGAAGCTAAGAATGTATGAACTCCAATAATAATGTGGGTAAACAGTTCACATTCCATGAGGGAAGTTTAGTGTTCAGACAGCAGATATGATTCTTTATATCAGTTTGTTCACATAAAATGTGGATGAGCAGGCAACATGGTTATCAGGTTAAGGTGTTTCTACCTCTACCAGCAGGTAAACAAAACATACCGGGTCTCCAAGCGGTGGGTATCTGAAGAGTCCCTGTGTCATCTGTACTTTCTTCTGGCGCAGTGCCAATAAAATCAAAAGTTAAACAAGCCAACAGGAGCTGCAGCACATTCTCCATCAGCTTGCTGCTCTCTGAAATAACGCATTAATTACTATAACATTCTCCGGTTAGTTGTCGTCCACGATTTTTCTAAAACTATCTCACTTTATGAACAACCTTAGCTTGGTGAGATGTTGTTTTGAACCATCTAGTCAATGCTCTGTATCTTGGTTTCAAAGGGATGTTACCCTTCAAGATGAGAGTTAGGCAAAACTTGATAAAACTAACCTTGGTTGGAGTTAACCGCAGATACAGATAGTTGCTTTACGGAAGTGAGACCCAGGGTGAAGAGAGACTTGAGACTTTCGTCTCGGAATGAAGACACGATCTTCCGTTGTCTGACCAGTGATCTTATTGTTGAGGACTGCATAATGTTGGTTGTTAGGAGTTACCCATTAATTTAACTGACTGAACGTGAATGTTCGCAATTTGTTTATTAAATATGTAATTAAAGCAAGAAACCTATAATTTGTAATTGAGACTTTGGGCGGACATAAAACTCCTGTTTTGAAAATTGTCCTCGGTACTTTTTATCACTGACTCACGCTTTTTTCACACACATTTCGGCCCATTTTATCTTTTTATTGTATGTTTGTTCGAATTGCTGTACATTTGTATATGTGCTATCTTGTAAAAGTTTCAAATCAAATCAAATCATATGATACAGGTAAATGTATATAACTCACCTCGTTTATTTCGTCGATCAGACAGCTGAGAATGTACACACCAACAGAACAACTTGGCACGTCCCTCTAAAAATCAAATTAATTAGTTAATATTCATTCCTGAGGTCATTTCAAGGATTTACAGATTCTAGGCTTTATGCACTTGTAAATTTTACGACGTTCCATCAAAATAATGAACTGAAGCTGAAAAGCTACGTAAAAAATAAATAAGTCGTATTTTAGACCTTCAAGAAAAGTTGGACGTCATCAATAGTTTTCCTGAAGACATGTTCCTCGTTGACACTCTCAAACCAACCTAGTTTCACCACTTTAACCAGAAGCCTGGTCAGACTTTGTGTAACATACAACTCGTTCGGCTGGTTCGCTAAGTAGTTCAGACATAGGTTCCCTGTGTGATTTAAATGTTAAGTGTAAATTTCAAGCCACAATGTCGGAGTGTATCTTGATGTACAACACGCGTTTGGTTTACTTGTTTCATAATACCGTCACGTGAAAATAATGATCATCAAAGGCGCCTTATTAGACATGATAACATGTAAAATTATGTAAAATATTTAATAATGGCACAATTTAAAGTTGCTCAGTAGCCAGATAATACGGGAGAAGGTAACTTACTTATTTCAAGTTTTGTCTCTGTCTGCACAAATAGTCGCTCTCTTTGTAGTAACCTCATTAGACAAGATGATATCCACAATAATGTGAAGGTGCTTGGGGCCCTGTTAGTGTTGTAGTAGTAAGTTTATTAAGTTTTAATAATTAAATAGATATTTACACAGTTGCACTATATTAATTGTAAGCTTTCGTTTGTATCTGTGTCAGGTATCGATAAAAGCTCAAGTATTTACCCAAATTAACAAATTTGTAATTAATACCAACCTTTTGAGTACATGTATGCATTTCTCGAGGGCATCGGATGAATTCATGAACTCATTCAACACATTTTCAGCCTGCCTTCTGTCATTTGGGCTGCTACTCTGGTAGACTTGTTCACAAAATGCTGCCAACTGTCCAATGTACTGTAAAGAGAGATTTGGTTAAAATTTCGAAAGAATAAGCAGCTTGTAGAATTAATTTAAATAAATAAATAAATTCTAGCATTTATAATTATGCGCTTCGACATTTAAATATACATTTAAACGAGGATGTACATCTTAGTCATTTAAGCAAGACTTATCTAACAACCCAGAAAATTGTATGAATGTTGAATAGTTAACCCCTTAGAACCATCAATATAACTTGAGGTAAATATATTTAAATATGTAAATGTTATCATTTACCGTACCTGATCATCCATGACACCATTCATAATGCTTTACATCCACTTTTAGCTATTATATGTTCTGAATGATGGATGTTTACGAATCTAATAAACACTGAAATACGATATGTTCTTGAAAGATTCTCTTTATGAAGTTGATTCTCTAACAAGCATCAAAGGCTGGGCTGGTTATTAGAATGAAAAATAAATTAAATTTTAAATCACAAATAAACTTAAGTTTTAAGTTCCATTAAGAAATATTGTACATATTTATACATTTTTCCGAGTGTAGTTAGTTCACACCCTAGCTCCATAATATGAAGAATTTGTTTCACTTCTGGATGAAAACTGAAAAGCTCTAATTACCAAATTCCTAACAGACACAACACATTATTTATCTTTAAAAGTTTCAATAAAATATAACGTTTTAAGAGCTGCTTTAAGGGGGCATACCCCAAAACAGTGGTTTGTGCCGTCCAGACCAAATGACCTCATAGGCAGTTCGGTAACCTTCTAGCGCACCGTTTCCACACCAAAAAAAATTATTTTGAGAATTCCCATTTTTGTAATCGAGCATTTCCTGGTTAAGAGTGCAATTTTCGGAAAAAATTATTTTGTGGTTGAGACGCTATAAGTTAATTATTTCTTGCGGTATCAGGTTGAAATTTTGCTCGCCGTTTATTCACATCTATGTCAAGGTGTGTGTAAAATCTTGATATCGTATCTAAAAAGGCTGGTGTGTTATGAATTTTTAAAGTCAAAAAGCTAAAATTGTCCTTTTCAGGCTTATTTTAACAAAAAGTCAGTCAGGGAAGATCGGATTATTTGATGCTTGACATCAAATTGTTCTCTGAATTCTGGCGCAGTTTTTGATGCCCTCAAAAATGTTTTTACTCATTCACCTTCTGATCTATTGGACCTCAAAGCCAAACAACAAATTTAGGCACATTTTTCGTTTTTAATATTTACTGATTTTTCTAAAATTTTGATAGGAATGTGCTAGTGACTTTTTGAAGGGTGCAAAATAACTGCAACTAGCACATTTATATATGAGTTATGAACAACAAAACACCCTAAAATGCTTCCCTTTGAAGTTATGGGAGAAAATGTGATTTTTTATCTGCAAATCCAAAAAATCACATTTTCTCCCATAACTTCAAAGGGAAGCATTTTAGGGTGTTTTGTTGTTCATAACTCATATATAAATGTGCTAGTTGCAGTTATTTTGCACCCTTCAAAAAGTCACTAGCACATTCCTATCAAAATTTTAGAAAAATCAGTAAATATTAAAAACGAAAAATGTGCCTAAATTTGTTGTTTGGCTTTGAGGTCCAATAGATCAGAAGGTGAATGAGTAAAAACATTTTTGAGGGCATCAAAAACTGCGCCAGAATTCAGAGAACAATTTGATGTCAAGCATCAAATAATCCGATCTTCCCTGACTGACTTTTTGTTAAAATAAGCCTGAAAAGGACAATTTTAGCTTTTTGACTTTAAAAATTCATAACACACCAGCCTTTTTAGATACGATATCAAGATTTTACACACACCTTGACATAGATGTGAATAAACGGCGAGCAAAATTTCAACCCGATACCGCAAGAAATAATTAACTTATAGCGTCTCAACCACAAAATAATTTTTTCCGAAAATTGCACTCTTAACCAGGAAATGCTCGATTACAAAAATGGGAATTCTCAAAATAATTTTTTTTGGTGTGGAAACGGTGCGCTAGAAGGTCACTAAACTGCCTATGAGGTCATTAGGTCTTGACAGATTTGGGGTATGCCCCCTTAAGATATTCAACGATAACGATTACACACAATATAATAGATCACAAACACATAGATCACAGCAATGACAAAATGATAGATACGTATTTTATAAGCTCTTGAGAAATACAAATTTTTGATCACAAAGATATTATTAGACCTTATGTCTGCTAATGGTATGATTGATATAATCAAAAATTTGAAATACAAATAGAGCAGAGAAAGAGTTGAATGATGTTATTGTATTCGATGTTCATGGGTCTGTGATAATGCTGACAAGACTAAAAGAGTTAGTGGAACAAGTTTTAGTGAAACAAGTTTTAAATTCTATCCTTTATTTACAATAAAATAATATAATTGAAATCATAAGCCCCCGTCTTGATCCTCTGCAGTTTTGGTTTGGTGGCGCAGCTTCACTCACACGCACACTTTCCTGTTTGTTAATTATTTTTGCATTTCCCCATTATTCTATAAGTTTCAAAGTATTCTTAACCCTACGTTTGATTTTCAGTGTATTAGTTGATCCCATTTATAGTACAGACAGATCCGTCTAAAAAAATCGATCTGCTGACACTCAAAGCTTTCAGAGGTTTTTTGACGTTTTTGAGTCCCATTAGGTGCCCTTTATGGCTGACCAACTTTTCCAAACTTTTCCACTTGTCTTAAGGCCACTTTTTGCCACTTTACCACTTTTTACCACCTTTTTTGTTTGTCGAATATCTTTAGTTGTGAACATCGTAAAAGGTTGCGGATCAATCGAGTGTGTTCATATTATCAGGAAGAAAAACTTTTGTTCAAACAATTTTTACGTCAGATAATAAGTTAATTGGATAATTATCAATTAACTAATTAGCAAAATTCTAAAAAATTTTTATTGGCTAAAAATGATCGGAATAGCTTAAAACACGGAGAAAAGTAGTTTTTAGAAAAAATTTTAAAATTGTTCACTTACATTTTTTTTTCGAGACTTAGAAAAAATTTCGAAAATTTAAAAAAATTTTCCGCCAAAAGTGATCAAATCGCATGAAACACGGATAAAAATGCCTTTCTAAAAAACGTAGTGAATTTTTCGTTTCAAGAATACTTAAATCGCCAATATTTGTAGTTGGAGTTCAGTAAATCTCGGCAGATTTTAGGGGGGGGGTGTCATGTCCGTCTATGTCCGCCTATGTCCTGTCCTTTTTGGATTCTATGAGACAACGGACGTGTTTTTTGGGACATTGGCGGACACGGACGGACATTGGCGGACTCGGACGGACATTGGCGGACTCGGACGGACATTGGCGGACTCGGACGGACATTGGCGGACCCGGACGGACATGGATGGACATTGGTGGACATTAGCGGACATTGGTGGACATTAGCGGACAAACATTTTGAGGACTGAAGAGTACTGAAGAGTACTGAGGAGGATGGCTGAGAAGGATGGCTGAGGAGGATGGCTGAGGAGGATGACTGAGGAGGATGACTGAGGAGGATGACTGAGAGGGAGGAGAAGGATCAGGAAGACCCAGGAGGAGGAGGAGGAGGAGGACCCAGAAGGAGGACCTAGGAGGAGGAGGAGAACTGAGGAGGATGACTCAGGAGGAGGAGGACTCAGGGGGAGGACTGAGGAGGACTGAGAAGGAGGAGGACTGAGGAGGATGGCTGAGGAGGATGGCTGAGGAGGATGACTGAGAGGGAGGAGGAGGAGGAAGAGGAGGAAGAGGAGGAAGAGGACTGAGGAGGAGGAGGAGAAGGACTGAGGAGGAGAAGGAGGACCCAGGAGGAGGAGGACCCAGGAGGAGGAGGACCCAGTAGGAGGACCCAGGAAAAGGCCCCAGGAGGAGGAGGAGGACCGGGGAGGAGGAGAACTGTTGAGGACTGATGAGGAGGACTGAGGACGAGGAGGAAGAGTAGGAGGAGGACTGAGGAGGGGAGGAGGAAGAGGACTGGGGAGGATCAGGAAGACCCAGGAGGACCCAGGAGGAGGAGGACCCAGGAGGACCCAGGAGGAGGAGGAGGACTGAGGAGGACTGAGGAGGAGGACTGACGATGACTGAGAAGGATGAGGACTGAGGAGTACTGAGAAGGATGGCTGAGGAGGATGGCTGGGGAGGATGGCTGAGGAGGATGACTGAGGAGGATGACTGAGAGGGAGGAGGACTCAGGAGGAGGACTCAGAAGGAAGAGGAGGAGGACTCAGGAGGAGGAATTAGGAGAAATGAGAAGGAGGACTGAGGAGAACTGAGGAGGAGGAGGAGGAGGAGGAGGACTGAATAGGAGGAGGAGAAGGAGGGGGACTGGGAGAGGACTGGGGAGGAGGAGGACTGATGAGAAGGATGAGGAGGAGGACCCAGGAGGAGGAGGACTGAGGACCGAGGAGGAAGAGGAGGAGGATGAAGAGGAGGAGGAGGACCCAGGAGGAGGAGGACTGAGGAGGAGGACTGAGGAGGACTGAGGAGGATGGCTGAGGAGGATGACTGAGAGGGAAGAGGAGGAGGAGGAGGAGGACTGAGGAGGACTGAGAAGGAGGAGGAGGACTGAATAGGAGGAGGAGGAGGGGGACTGGGGGAGGACTGAGGAGGAGGATGGAGGACTGAGGAGAAGGATGAGGAGGAGGACTAAGGAGGACTGAGGACTGAGGAGGAAGAGGAGGAGGATGAAGAGGAGGAGGAGGACCCAGGAGGAGAACCCAGGAGGAGGACTCAGGAGGAGGAGGAGGACTGGGGAGGAGGAGGACTGATGAGGAGGACTGAGGACGAGGAGGAGGAGTAGGAGGAGGACTGAGGAGGGGAGGAGGAAGAGGACTGAGGAAGATCAGGAAGACCCAGGGGGAGGAGGAGGAAAAGTAGGAGGAGGAAGCATCTAAATGTTATTTCCATTTTTGTCCGTTTTTGTCCATTTTTGTCCGTTTTTGTCCGCTCTATTTTTTGTCCGTTTTGAAAATATAGGGTACCGAACGGACAAAAAACATGATCCCCCTATAACAGCAAAAATTGAACATTTTATTAAGCAATTTAGGTGTCCATTAATGTCCGCCTATGTCTGCCTATGTCCGCCTATGTCCGTCTATGTCCGCCTATGTCCGCCTATGTCCGCCTATGTCCTGTCCTTTTTGGATTCTATGAGACAAGCGGACATAGACGGACGTGACACCCCCCCCCCCCCCCCCTTTTAGTAATCAGGAATTAGTATTACTAAGTGAAGAGGTCTGAAACTGAAAAACGTTAACCATACGATCGCGCGGCGATATAAGAGTTTCATAAACTAATTTTCACAGAAACTGCACCAATGGCACAGTCAAGATCGAAACGATAGCCTGCTGTACTGTCAT